GCAGCGGCAGCGCCCGCGCCCCCGTCGCGCCGCGGCGGCCGCCGGACCCCATCGATGGCGCTGCTGCCGCTGCCGCCGCCGGGCGGGAGGAGGCGGCGGCAGAGGGAGTGTCTGGGGCTCCCGGCCCGCCCCGTACTGACAGCGGGCGCGGGGCGGCGAGGGGTGGGCGGGCCTCCCCCTCCCCTGCCCGGCCCTGCCCCGCCCTGCCCCGCTGCCCCGGGCGCGGTGGGCGCCGCCCCACACGCGAACCGCCCCGTCACCCCCGTGGAAGCCCCGGTGGCCGTCCCGGCGTCCGCACACCTGCGCGGCTCCACAAACACAGGTGTCCCACGGAGCCGCGGCCTCCCGGAGCAGCGGGAATGCCCTGGCCGCAGGCTGCCGGAGCTCCCCGCGCCGCCGCGGCCCGGCACCGGCGCCCACCGCAGAGACAAGCCCGAGCAAGGACCACGCGACTCGCTCCAGCCTCCTTTGCGGTTGTTCAAGATACAGTATTGACATTTTTACCATGTAATTACAGCCCACTCTAGAGCGTGAATCCCCGGCTGAAGGCCATGCCAAAACGCACACATCACCCCACCCCCAATCCAGCCCCATCCCACCTCCATGCCCAGCCAGGGATTTATCACAGCTGTCACTCCTTTGGCAGGTAAAATTGGTTCATACATTATTCACTGAAATTATAATTTCCTAAATAATGTCTGACCTTTCAGGCTGCAAGCAAAAGCAGGCAGTATTCTTTTTCACCCCTTCCTCCCATCCCCATTTCACTGCCCTTTTTCCTTTGTTTTGTTCTGTGAGAAATACCGAGCTGTTTCTAGTTGCAAGGGTGGTTTATACACATTAGTAAATCTTCAGAATGAAACTTTCCCTCAGTCTTTGTCTTTGTTTCCTTAATAGCAGCTATAAATTACCACTCTTCTTTCTCACTGCAGCATCAGGCTTCATTGCTTTTGAAATGATCAAAGTTATTCTCTTTTTAAATCCCATGAGAAGCAACCTTTTGTGTCTCCCGGATGGTTTCAGTCTTAGTCAATCTCATCTATAAATACATAAAGCTGCTCATTAAACACTCCAAGGATTCTCCAGCCCTGCACCATACCCCAAGCCTCCCCTCACCAACAGAAAGCAATACATGAACGGAGGATTTCTCGACACTTTCCATGGTCTCATGAATAAACCATCATATACTTAGGGTGGGAATTTGCACACCTTCACATCTCTCTTCCAGGAACATCAGCCGAGGTGTCTCCACAAACAGCTCTCCCAAAGGTACAGAGAAGCCATCTCCCATCCAGGCACATGACTTCAAGCCACGTTACAGAAAAGCTGGTACACGTTTCAGGCACCATCCAGGCAAGTTCCCTCAATGAACTTGACCAGTATTAATTTAATTAACTTCCATCACAAGATTTGCAAATGACATAAAGTAGGAACACGTATGAAGAGTGCAGAAGAAAAAGCAGTAAGAGACACTGAAGAGTCGTGTACCCAAAATAACTAAAGCATTCTGAGGCACCGTAAAAGCAAAGCATCTTTCCAACTTCTATAAACTAAAACATAAAGTGAGACATAAATATTTGGGAATGCCTGAATTAGATCAAAAGATCTCACTGCAGCTTGGAAAACAAACAGAACAATATCAAATTTATCTTAGCTAATGAAGTTCTTTCTTACACATAAATCTTGAAGTTTTTCATGAAGGATCCTGGCTATTATTTCACATAACACACATTTGTTTATGATGAATTGCCATTAAAATATCTCTTTAAGACACAAACCAGACAAACTCAGCCCTCAACTCTGATGCCTTCCTGTAGCCTTTTTAACTATTTCCCTTCAACTACAGAGTTTCAGTGACAGATGACTGCTCTGGGCACCGAGACCTTTACTGGGAGAGAAAAACTGGAAAAATTCTTAAGACTCAACGTCAACACTAAGTTAAGTATGAGGAAAGAAAAACAAACATACCAAGGCAGTTATACATGAAGAGATGCCAAATAGGACTGTTTGGGGATTTTTTCAGCAATTTAAAATAAAATCAAGTAACAAAGTATCAGGAAGGAAAATAGTTACTGGAAAATAGCTCCTTCCATACAGAGAAGATCCCCAGTTCCCTCCTGCCTCCTGCCTGCGCTTTCACTATCACTTGAAGTTGCCTCACATTGAGAGATCGAGACTAAGCTGTCACAGAGCAGCTGGATATAAAATCTGCTTCAGAAATTGTATAGCTGACGTTTTGAGCAGAGAGTAATACTTTTGTCTGAAAAATTTAGTTAAAAAYTACTTTACGCTTCACAATCCTTGTTAATTTTTTTCATTTAATGATGAGCAAACATTATTTGGAGACATCTAGATTGCCATTTCATCTGCACTGTAATGAGAAGTAGCAGCTCTGCTGGCCTGAGCAACGCTGCATCATACTGACCCGAAATTTAGCACGACTGAGCAAGCATAAGTGCTTGTGATAGCAGCTGAAAACAACTGGGAGGGCTGGGGGGAGATGACAGAACAGTAAATGGAAAGGAGCAGACTGACAAGTGAAGAAATATTTTCAAATGTTTAATTGTTCCAAAGCACACAAAAAATGTCTCAGAGCTGTTGTTTCAAGTCTTGCTCATCTCCAGATGTACAGTGGGTTTTGAGCAATTGTTTTTCTTTGAAATGAATTGCTCAAACTTTTACACTTAGACTTCTCATCTTAGTGTCCCAGGGTTTTCCAAGCTACCATAGAGGTTGTTTAATTCTATGTAAAAATAACACATCTTCAGTAATCAGCAGGACCTACACAGGGCTTATCTGAGACAGAGAGGAAATTTGGGAGTTCTCATCACAAGGGGCATAAAAAACCCTCTCATGTCATTTATATGCCTTGTCTAAGTCTTTTTATGCCACTTGTAGAAAAACTTTCCCAAAACAATCATCAGCTCCATCAGCAACATTTTAAATGTAGGATCTCATGTTAAAATGCCACTGTCACTGAAATGAAGAAAAGTTCCTGTCTATTGAATATACTACAGCCTACTAATACATAAAACTTTTTTTTTAGTTAATACAGGGGTAAAAGGAGACACTTTGTCACATGAAATAACTTTTAGGTATGTGCATTTCTTTGTGAAAACTTTGCAATCATTACTCCAACAAATGGTAACATTTCCAGACTTGTGTCTGGACCAGCTGCTCACCCCAAGAGCTGCACAATCCCTGCCTGCTCACCCCAGGAGCTGCACAACACACTTCGCCCAGCAAGGCTCCTGCCCTTTGTGCTCCTTTTCCTTCGAGGGAACCTCAAAGTCCTGAGGCACCTATGATGAAGGGAAGATGCCTCTAGCTCACAGCTCCACCCAAGGCCTGCCCAATGTCCATCCCCGTCGTGCCCTGCAGAGGAACCAGGAGCAGCAGCTCCAAAGCCCAGGAACAGAGATGGTCTCCATTCTGAGGCAGGTTTGGTGTCTCACCCAGGCTCAGCATGCCCAGACTGCACCCCCCAAACCTGTCCAAGGATGAGGCCACAGAACCATCTCACCAGAGCATGGCTCAGGCAGAGTTGACCCTCTGGCACCTCCCACAGGGTGACACCATCAGTTGTTGGCAAGGCAGGATCAGCCCCAGCTCAGAAGGATCGATATGGTTCCCCCAAGAAGTATATTAACACTTGTTATTTCATTGTGCTTAAAAAAAACCTCTCTACCACAGACCACGGCAGGTGTGAGAGATAAAGGAATAGAGACACCTCCAAATTAATGATCAAACTCCTTCCCTTCTCCCTTCCCCAGTGGTACAGAACATTCAGTGGTGACCTCACACAGGTTGAAACGGAGCGAATGGCAGTACATCTGAGTGCCTGTACTCACAAAACCCTCCAAGGTCTGCATTAGTTCCTTGGCCTTGCCCTCCTCCCCATTCCCTGATTCCTGAGCACGCCTCTCTTCCACTGGTGGCAGTCAGATGAGGATGGCTTGTAGGAAAGCTACACTGGAGCTAGGAGGCAGGAGTTGTAGTTGAACAGATCAGACATAAAACCGTACAAAGATTTCCTGAAACAAGCCACTAAAATGTCCCACACACCTGCAGCCAGGCAAAGAGCAGATGATCAGCCAAATTATAACAGCCTTTTTGAAAATAGCACATTAATGCTATTTTTTCATGTTAGAAGACAAATTTTATTGCAATTCAGCAAATGAGCTACACCTGTAAAACTGCTTTGTATATCCAATTCACATTTAATGTCCAATGGATTGAAATGTCACAGGAAAAATTAAAAAAGGAAAACAGTACCTGGTTTTGTCATTATAATGTAAACTTCAACACGGCCCTTAAAAAAAACAAGCCAGTGATTTCCCCATGTAGTAAAATATATAGTTTATAAGGTATTGATGCTTTATCTTAGTTTAACAGCCAATCTCTAGGTATAAAATAAAGAACTACAAAGAAGTGAAGTACGTGTACAATTTCTTCAAGTATTTTCAAGTATCCTATAGTCTCTTCACTACGGACAAAATTCATTTGACAATATACAGAAAAAGTTAACTCTGAATAGTTTCACTGCAGAAATCTTAACATATTCATGAATTTAAAACACATAAAAATTATGGATCATCCAGCTACTAAGTCCCATTTGAACAGTTTGAAAAATACTCTTTGTGATGGAAAAAGTTGTGGAATAGTCTCCAGTTCATGAATATGTTTTCAGCTACAGAATATCAGATGGTGAAAAGTTTATGGCAGATAAAGGCCTTTTTTTTTGTATAAACTTATCATCGTAGTATTTCATTACATTTAAACCAAGTCTTTACTAATTTGCATTTTGGTTTTGTAGGAAGTATCATTGTATGAACTCTGACAGCATTAACCAAAGAAGCATAAATACTTAATAGGTGATAGCCTATTTTTTCTCCTCAAATCAGGGAGGAGCCTGTAAACACATCTGGTCAGTTTAGCACTACTGCATGATGAACTGTTAATTTTTTATCACTGTATTTCTCTCTCCAGAACATGTGTATGTTGATTAAAAATTTATCTTTTCCCATTAACTGTTACCAAAAAATCCCCACCAAACAAGAGAACAGCAGTCACACTAACTGCACCTACCAAACCTGCCAACTTCTTTTGGAAAAGTCACAGGAAGAAAAAATGTTACAACTGCATTACTCTGAACAAAGGGAGAAGGATTTTACAAAGCTCTAGATAAAAAGGTAGTGACTGCACCATTTGCTCTTATAGAGTTCAGCAGAATGGCATAGCAAGAGCAAATGCTGGATCTGAACCTTCTTGTGTGGGACTGATGCTGGAAACAGCTGTGAAAGAAGCAGGTGGGTTTGTGGTGAGCACTGAAGAGTGGTGAGGATTGTGGCTGCCACTACAGACTGGACTGTTCTTAGACATGCCAGCCAAATCTCCCAAAAAAACCTGGCACAGGCTGTAGTATCTCCCTCTTCCTTGGCTGCCTATAGATCTAACAAAGCCAGCTTTTTTAATTGCTGCATTTCAGAGCCTTCTACCTATCCTTCAGAGGAGCAAACCCCTCCAGACTCAGAAGTCCATAGCAAAAAGTGCTTTGAACCTTAAAATGATGAAGCACAGGCCCCCTGTGACAGGAGGAGGAAGGGTCTATGTCAAACTGTTTTTTCCTGTGAAAATAAAAGTAACCTAGGAGCTGGGAAAATGATCTCTGTGTCTTCCTTTTGCACTGAGTGCCAGCACACAGGGTGATCTCACTGATGGACAGCATCATCCTCATGAGCCAGCCAAGGAGCCTGCCCGTGGGAATCACCAAATGCCAGCCTCTGCCCATCCCAGATATCTCTGTAATAATGAGGGCAAAACACACCGAAACAGCCATTAAGCCAATGTTATCATGTCACACTAGGTGAACTTGTGTAAAGAACATAAAAAGATAAAAAAGAACCTTAATTCAGGGTAATTACCTCATGCAAGATAAAATTAATCCACACTTAATACTATGAGATATACGGTTTTAACAGGACAAATTCATCTGTAAAGGTGAAAATATGGAACCTTCCTTTCTTACTTAATATTCTCTGTGAAATATATAGGCCTCGCAAATTCATTTTCAAGAGACATGAAAGCACTGTAATTTTTTTTTTTTTTTTTTTTTTATTTAGTAATGCATAAACAATTTGGGACAGGTATAAGACTATCCCAACATATTAAGGTGAACGGATGAAATTCTTAGAATGAAGTACACCTGTTTCATTTTTGCTCTTCCAAAGCTGGAAGAAAAAATTAAAAACCACCAACAAAACCAAACTTATGCACAGAGATTAATTCTRTGAAACGCTCTTGTAGGTTCCATGTTGTGAAAGAATTCACACCCACCCTGTGTGAGGAGTGACTCAGACACTGCCCTCACACCTTCCTAATGCTACTGTGAAATCAATGAAGAATCTTGCTCTGATAAGTAGTTACAAAGGAACTTGTCAGTTTAATAATGAAATAAATAGGACAAAAGTAAAAATAGTTTAAAATTTAATACATGTGCTATACTCATAAATTATGGAAATAAAACTATCACAAGATGTGACTAAGCTGTAGGTAAAGTAAAAGTGCTACAATACTGTATGAAACAAAAAACTTGGACTCTGCTTCTCAAAAGAGAGACATTACTAAGATACGTTTATACAGTGGAGACCTCTTAAATACACAGCCCTGAACTTCAGTACAGTAATTTCTGATGCTGATAAATCAGCCTGTTCTTAAGTCGCATACTCATATCAAGGAGATTTTTATCAGCAGATTCAAATGAATGGAGATGCCCCTAGGCATTAGCCAAGTTACAGATCTCCAATAAATTAAGCTTTCAAAATGTTTCATAGTAGAAACGGACTAAAGTTTCTTTGCTCAAAACAAAAGCATCTCAAACGAAGCAGACTGTGACAACAGGATCCAAGACATATGCATTCAAAAGGAAAAGAAAAAAATCTTAATACCACTGTCTTTTCAGAAAATTAAGAAATCCTTATATTTGTTAGTAAGATATACTGTTATTAATTCAGATGGAGCATAAAGATCTTTATTTAGTCACCTGGCATTTGGGGAACTCGTGTCCCTGTTTATTAGTAGTTAAGAGAATTAACAGCAGTATCCATATACCAAGCTTCAAAAGGCTGGTTTAAGAGGAAAACCTTTTTGTGTTATGAACAATTATTCCAGGTTTTTCATTTAAGTGGGCTACACTGTAAATTCTGAATTGCATCATAATATAGCCAGTTGTATCATAGAAGATTTTTTAAAGGCAAACTTACAAAACATAATGATAGGTTAAATAAATAAAAAACATCAGTTAAAAAACAGACTTAATTTCTTTTTCTGTGCAATTACGTACCAATGTGAAAACTATTATTTTGATCTCTGGATATTTCACGGTTCAGTCTCCTGGATTTTCACTAAAAATAATACTGGCAACAAAAATAAAGAAAAAAAAAATTGTTGACAAATCAGTGCTTTGGAGCTATTAAAAAAAAGCACAGATCAGATCTGTAGTTCCCTTGCAGCAGAACATGACCCAATACGTTAAAAATCAAAGGTTGGTAATAATGTTAATATATAAAATATTAGTTTAAAAACTATAGAATGACCTTCTCAGCAGAAATGGAGTGTATACATTGGGGTCTATGACACACAGCATATCTGAAGGCAAGTTCACAGAATGCTGAAAGGCTCACTGCACATTTTCTATGGCAAGGATATACTGCAGCTTTAAAATAAGCTGCACAATACTCATCTCTATCTCTTTCACATGAAAGTGAGTAAAAAGCAAATCAGCAAATAAACTCTAAAATAGATTTATACCAAAATCCTCTTTTTTACATTGAGTTTACAGCTTCTATCCATTTGCCTGTACTGTTTCTGGAGTTTCAAGAAAAGTCAAAGTTGCATTTTTGGGCCATGAACAAGTTCACGATACAATGTACTGGCAAGACAGAACTTTTGCATACTAACGAGATTCACTCCTTGTTGCTTTTTTAGTTTTTTGTAAAGACAGTTTTTCCTGTGGGACAGGAGGTCAGATGTCGATTCCTTTGACAAGAGATGCCTCCAGGGTGATGTTGAACTCCTGCAAGGTCTGCAGCACCCGAATCAAAGAATTCACCAGCGTGTGATCCTTAATCAGGGCTATGTCCTCATACATCTGGGCTGTAATGGGGCAGTCTGCAAGCAAGGCAATCCAGTGGTGCAAAAGGTGGTCTCTGACAAGGTGCCAGTCAGCAGTTTGGGAATAAAAATAAAGCCAAGTTAATTTCACATCTGCACAGACATGATTTTTATTCTTTGCCTTCTAAACAGAGCTACCGTGTTCTCCACTTACCTTTATGAGACAGAATGGGGAGGAACTGTCTCATGTGCAACATCATTTTCATTTTATGAATGTATCAGTAATAATATAACAACAGCAATAGAGAAGTTTGTTTATACCTGGCTCCAAGACACACCAGCATCTGAAACTTGCCATCCTTCCCAATATTTCTAGGGGTGTTGTTGATAGCAGTGATAAAGCGACAGAAATTCCTGGCCCTTGTCTGCCAGTTCTCTTCTGGGACCATCTCGTTCTGCTCAAGGGTTTCATAGTATGTTTGTGCTTTTTCTTAAAAGAATAGTGAGAGATAATGATGTTTCATCAGTGTATGTAACATATGGGAGAAAATTAAAGTTGAAAGACCTAGGATTGAAGTTCACCCATTAATTTCCTGAATCATTACATTTAAGTACTGGGATTTTTTTCTGTTTGATTCAGCCCTCTGTAGAAAACTGGGATTCCAATTCTTTCCCTCTGAACAATGCTAAAGATTCACCTATCTACTGAATCTGAGTGCAGTAAAATGATCATATAATGGGGAACAGTGATGTTAAAGTACCTACTCAAAAGATAGAAACATTATCAAAAATAATTCCTTTTCTAAAAGGTGTTTGTGAACTCAGTTGATTTATTTAGCTCTGTGTCAAGAGATCTAGATGATTATCTGAAAAATGCATGTTTTATTACAATGTCCAGGACACAGCAACAGCACTAGGTGCATCTGCTGTGCTCTAAAAGACAACCCAACCTCTTAGAAGTCGGATTTATTGCTTTCACTGTGCTCAGTTAACAAGAAGATTACCCTATATCAACCATCACCTTATTTATGTAACTGTTCCTCACTAAGAAAGTTTGTTTTATGCTATTACTGTCGGAAGGACAAAGCCCAGTTACTGCATCAAGCACAGTGTCAGCTTTGGCAGAAGACAGAGGCTCTCTCTCATGACAGTACAAGGAGATAGGGGCACTCATGGAAATTCAGCTGCTGAGATGCCTCCAAGGTATCTACTCTTCACACCAGCTGAGACACAGCAGCAATGACAAGGAACACATTTGGATGTATTTCAAAGACAGAAACGTACTCTGGGATGTCATCCTTCCACTTACCTAAAAAATCCCAAATGAAGACGTTCTTGAAGAGTCTCGGTGATTTAAATCCATGCTGGAACACTTGCTCGAGAGCTGAAACAAGTCCACTTTCTCCACACAGCAGCAGGGTTAGGCTGCCTCTCTGCCAGCACACACAGAAAGCGCACACACTCATCACCTCACTTTGGCACTCTGGGACACAAGTGTCCCATGAAGTTTTTAAATAAACAGATGCCTGAAGTTTAAATCTGCTGTCAAACAGTGACCTCAGAGAGGATGGCCCAGTTCTCACAAGTCCTGAGCATTCAAAAATAGATTGACAGAGCTCTCTAAGAATGGGGTTGAGGAAAGCATTGTCAGGGCCTTGTCATCATCAAATGAAGCCTCAAACAGGCCAAGATAAAAATAATGAGCAGGTTTTACCTATAACAATGATCACTACAGAAAATCAGGAAAATATTTTCTTCTTCTTTTAATAAAGATCACAGATCCACTGTAGCAGGTGCCTCTAATTGCTTATCAACCAAAACAACATTTAATGCTCAGCAGAAAACAAAATCCTTCTTTAGAACATGACAGTAAATTCTATTTTGAAAAACCAGTGCATGACTACTTGAGATTATTAYCAAGGTGATCATCAACTAGAATGACACTGGATATGAATCTGTCATGCCATAATGAAGTTAGGAGTCAGGTGCTATAGGAATGAGGGGAACTATTTGCAAAAAATTCTCAACTGTGAAGAGCCATCCACACAGAGCCAGCACAGCTCTACACTTCTCTGGGTGTAGAGACAAAGGCTGCACTGTGATGATTTGACAACGCTATGCTACTTGGGTTTGTTTCAGAAGATTACTTCTGTGTAAGCTGATTACATGTGTAATGCAAAAGAGACTTTAAGAGCACTTCTGTTACATTTGTTTGAGGGATATGATGTTTTCAGGGCAACCTTCTTTGTTTCTTTCCTTTTATTTGAAATGGCCCATGGGTTTTCATGTTTTGAGTAGCAAAGATAATGAAAAACAGACATTAAAAGCCTACTTAGAACTCAGTGCAGATGTCAAATGACAGTTAATTCAGAATAAACTAAACAGGAGGCAGTATTCATACAGTGGGATGGGTAGAATCATTGGCAGAATTTGACTAATAACACAATTTCCAATACCAGAATGTTCACATTTAATTTAACAGAACACTCCAGTTAGTACAGCCTCAAATACCTCTCTTTTGTTGCTATCTCAGTGGCACAGTGTCAGTATATCATTTTTGCTCCACTTAAGGAATTTTCCATCACATGGCTGTTCATTCAGTTCAGTTATTTCTGTTACATATCTTYCCATGTTTACTAATCAGAGTTTTAGGACAGGAGTGCCATTACACAGACAACAACCCCTCACCTCCTTCTCTGGCTTGTGGAAATGCTTGACAATACCATTAACAGCTTCACCAATAGCTTCTTGTATCTGACCAGTATTTAACTCTGCAAAACACAAAAATAYACCCAGTTACAGCTTCAGAAATTGTACCTGTGTGTAAGGGTTATGGCCTACCACAAACACAGCAGAGGAGCATGAAACAATATAACTCTTTCTGTTAGGGAAACAGSGATGGGCTGTGGGTAACGGAAACCCAACTCTACTTGTATTTATTATTGAGGAGGTAGGAATGAAGATGATTTGGTTTCATGTTGAAATTAACATTGTGGTGTTTCAAAACAACAAGAGTGGAAAGAGTTTCTACATATTATGTTAATTTTCAGACCAGAAAGGACCAAGAGCTAAGAAAGAGCTGTACTTTGTTTATGACTAACAAATCCAGGCATCCTGGAAATACTTCCTGTGATAGTTTCACTGCAAACCCAAGCATAGTTGGGAACAAAGTAACCACCTGATTTATCAGGAATAAGACAACCACAGAACACTGACGTCAAGAGAAAACAAAGAGAAGTCCGTGAATATAAGCCATTAGCAAGCCTCTTCATCCACGAAGGATGGACAGAGAAAAGGCAGCAAATTTCTACCTTCCTCCATAGCATTCATTCCAGGTAAAGGACAATACAAAAAACACCACTTTGGCATCTAAGGATTGGTCCAGGAGTACTGGGRCATCTGCTAAACTTGCAGACTTTCAAAACTTAAATAGACAGTACAGGTTGCTCAGGATTGTAACCTGGAGTTTGAGCAGGATGTTGGGCTGAGATCTTCTCCAAACTCCAGCTGTTAGCAAGCAGCTGCCCACAGGTGACAGTGTAGAACAGGACAAGACAATCCCCAGCACTCACTTGGCTTATTGTTTGGAGAGATGGTGACAAATCTCCTGATCATGCTTGGAGACTGCTGCAGGGGAGGAGTTCGGCACTGCCGTTCATCAGCCTCCGTGTGCGAAGTCAGCAACTCCCCCACCAGGATCCTCTCTAAGCTGCCATCATCCATTCCCTTCCCAAGCCACCTTCCACAGGGAAACCTAAGAACATCGAGGAGATAAATACATGGATCAATCCAGATTCAATTCCGTTCCAAAGACTTTCAACTGCAGTTACCTAAAGCCCAAATCCTGCTAGCACAGTTATTAGAAAGACTTCAGTCATCTGGTGACAAATAAAGTCTTGGCTTTGGCTTTTACCAGCACAGGTAGCAAAAGCAAAACAGCTTTTAACTTCCAAGTTTGTGCTGAATGTTGCAGTACATGATGCATCCACAAAGCAGATTTCGCTTGAGTCCCATATGTAGCACAAGATTTGCGGAAAAAGAGGTAAAAGGGGAAATGCCACTACACCTCATAGATGGGTGAAGAKATACACCTATGCTTTCACTGAATATGCTACAGAGCAGGCCAGCTGCAAAAAGAACCCCACAACCCAAACACCAACCCCAAAACACCAACACTTCTACTGAATTGGGATATTAAATGAGACACTAGAAAGCACATGTGCACATTTGCTCATTATCACTTTCGCTGAACCAATGTTATGTGAGCTTAATCAGCTTAATTGGAAAACTGAACAGCATCCAAAAATAGAATCTTTCCTCTATATTTAATTACAAATGAACTGGCATGGAGAGCCGGGTGGACTTACCCACCAATTTATCATCAATATGAGCCTGACGTTTTCTCTAAACAAAGGACAGGAGGGAATCAACCTATGCTGTACCTAACACAAATAAATTTCATTCTTACTGTAAATTTTGTTCCTTTACTTTCCCCATGAAAACACAGGTATGTAACACTCATAAGCCCTTGTGTTCCAGTTTGTGTCCAAAAGTGTCTCTATAGCACCTACAGCAGGCAGTCTTAATATAAAATACCACCTATATTTGGTAAGCAGCAAGCTCTGACTTGCTCTTTCTTCCTTGGGCTCAAGACAGATTATTTTTAAGCTGCACAACAGTCAACTCATCTTCTCCATCAACAGTCTGATATGAGACATGAACATCTGCAAACTGAAAACCCTGTTTGACTTTGCAAGAACCACGACTTGTTTAATGCCAGAAGCCAAACGATCTTTCTGAGCCTTCAGGTCAAGGCAACTGTAGACAGAGTCCCTGGAGATCAGACCTTTCTAATCAAACAAGCCCTAATGTGCCAGCTCCCGGCAGAAATTCTACTTACCCCACATGAAATGTCAGGATGATACTTACTTGTAAGTATGCCCTGTTATTTCATTCCTGACCATAACATATTCCACAAGCCACTTGGCATACAGCCCTGAATTATCATGTCCTATTTGCACTGTGGTCAGTTTTCCCAGGTTCTGGCACTGCAAATTGAACAAAGAGTTTGTCAGAGGAAACTGAAAGAAAGCAGCACGTTGGAGTAAGCTATTAGAGAACGTGCTCAAACTCAGAACTGTATTTCTGCATGACTGGCTCTGGGCTTTTTAGGGGTAGGCTGCTTTACTTGTTTTTGTTTGTTTGTTTTGTAAAATACTATTTTTATCAGCACAGAGAACATCAGGTGAACTAGATTTTTCAATTAAATTTTACCCAATACACACAACACACATGCAAAAATCAGCAGAATCACTTCTTTGTTTCCAGCAGAAGAGGATATTACACCTCCCACAGTTGTAACATAAAGACAGTCTTATCTATCCCTTGCACTAAAGGAATTGTCAGTCATTTTGCTCTGCATGTTATAAAATATACATTAAATTTGCTATGTACAAGCACAGAAAATATATGTGACTAACCACAAAGATATGAAATAGATGGTAAGGTGGTACAAAAGGAGAGAATTTAAAAGTGAATAAACAGAACATCCAAATCGACTTTTGTATCCAGTAATACAAACCTCAAAAGTCATTTCTAATATATTCCTGGGAATCTGCAGGACTCCCGTTTCACCCAGTTCTCCCGAAATACAGATCCAAGGATTGGCTGTGAACATTGAGCCCCCAAGTTTCTTGCTGGGAACAATCAATATATGGTATGGGATCACTGCAAACACAAAAGAAATAACACTTGAAAAATGAATAAGGATAATTATGTAACCTTTTTAGTCAGGAGAGGGGCAAAAGATAAGCCCTAAAACAGCACTGCAGTACTATGAAATGTTAAAACAACATCAGAGCTGCTGTTTAATCATGGCTAACACTTGCACACTAAGCACTGACTGACAATGGGGAAGTGTACATATATAGAGCAGCCACTAAGCAGCAGAGCTGTCAGCAAAACAGTGTCAAGCGAAGAAAGAAATCTGGATGGAATAACACCTTCTTATGGGTATAATCACTTTTTATTTACCAACCTCAAAACAYGGCATGAAGACGGTTACTTATCCTCAGCTTAGTGACAAGGAAGTAAAGACACGATATTCCTGATTCCAGGACTGCACTGTAGCTCAGCACACTGCACAACTCTCCCCAAGTCCCACTCAGGTACTGACTGCAGCCTTTCTTTACAGGCCTGGATGGCAGCAACATTCTCTACAATGGCTGAAGAAAGCCAGTGAAAATAAAGCATAGTGCTGCAAATTTCTCTGTCCCATGTTGCTCTTGGTTATGCTAACTTCAAGACCTACCAATTTCAAAAAAGAATAAGCAATTTTTTCCCTTCTAAACACCACCACACATATGCTCAAATGTTTTCTGGTCTCCTGATTTACCTGTGAGTAATTCAATGCACTATCACCTGAGCTGCAGGCCCTCCCCAACTCAGGAGGCATAGGCTCCTGAGGAAATGCCTGAGCTCTTCCACAGCCCAGCATCTCCTGCATGGCCCTCTGTTAACCACCCTTTTGTAATAAAATCCAATTCTCTGAATGGTCACTGTGTTTCTTGGCTACCTGCCTTTCTTTTATAGTGCATAAGCAGATTACAGCCAGGGCTTTTCAGCTGAGGCATTTAATGCATTTCTCCCTCAGCGTCTCCTCAGCTCGAGAAAGGCATTTGGTGGTTGGATTTTCTTAAAAGCTCCATGCTCACAGCATTTAAGGATGAATTAAAATGTTTCCCTTTTTGTTTTCTGTGCTGATAGTCCTAAAGTAAGTGACAATTTAACTGCATCCAGCAGACCAGATTTTAGCATTATCCAGATCTTGCCTGCAAGACCAGAAGCTGTTTTCATACACACAAGTATGAATCACAACACAACATCAAGGATAGCTCCTACCAAGGGCCACAGGGGTCCTTCCACATACCCCACCCCCAATTTTAGAAGCCTTGCTAAAGTCTTTCCTTATTCTACCTTCCCAGTGAGATCCTGTGGCAGCAGGGACATAAATCTTTCAGAACTCTCTAACACAGTTAAGCATCATCAGCTAAAGGTTTCCCTAGGGTATCTTCTTTAAAAATAGAAGATAAAAAAACATGTTCAAGAGTTCAGATGCAGCCCTCAATGGGTATTTCATTGTTACCCCAAACTCAGACAGGCAAGCAGCAAAATAACCTGAGCACGTAATAGGAAAGGCATGCATTAAAACTATTACCTTGACAGTGAACAATCAATATTATTATTAATGCTTGATTATTAGCATGCAAACAAGCCCACCACAAAATTTTCAGCTGAGAACTTGCCCCCAGCTAAAGGGATCAGAGTTGGGTATTTTACCAAGTTAGAAACCAAAGTAACAGGGAAAGAAACTCCTGCCCACCAGAGAAGATATGGAAACAGCAATATAGTGAACACAGGTGGATGCCAGGAAAGAAAAGCAGAACAACTACATTAGGACACATTGCTCAGAGCTGTTTAAAATTTTGGACAAGGACTCAATCAAATCTGGAAATCAGAGTTGCAGGGAAATCAAATACTTACAGATTGTTGTGAAAACATTGGTAAAGCAAAAGTAATCAACAGCATTGAATGACAGGAGATGATACAAGAATTGTTCTTTCTCATCATCACAGCGGAGGAATGCGTAACGCTTGTAGAGTTTTCTGACAAAGCAAAACACATAATCTGTCATAGTAACAAGATGCTTTCAGTGAAATGTTTTCTGTTGTGCAAATTTATTAGGTACACTATGAATAAAGGCCAACCAATTACAAATGAGAAGTGATTCTGGGAGAGTCAAGAGTATTTAATGTGCCAGGATATGCTGACTCTCTGCAAGCCTGACAACGACAGAATGCCTCAGTCCAATTTTCATTATATTCCACCCCTCAAATGCAAGGTTTGGACTAAAGGTCTTTTGCCATTCAAAAATACCCCAAGACGGAAAAAGGAATTTTACACTTTCTTGAAAATAAAATCTGATTTCTTTTGGTCATGTAAAAAGACAGAACTGAAATAAAGAGAGTTTTCCCAAGTCACATCTGAGCAGAGGGTGCCATGGGAGAGTTCTCCAGCACATGACATAGGATAGAAGACTGTACTCAAAAGACATAAGGCAAAGGCTAGGGTCATCTGCTTATATTTGGCTACAGGTGAGAGCCCAGGGCCTACAACAACCTCTGCATTAATCCAGGAAATAGCTTCAGTGTTCATAGAACACAACTCCTGACACAACCGAAATGATAAGCATGCAATAGTGTCAGCCAATAAACTACACCAGTGTTGGCAAATAATCATTAAAGAAGAGCAGGCTAAAACATATCAAAATCCAACTGACACCATAGGAATATCCAAACCCTCATGCATACAGGAATTAGGTATTAGAAATGCTGACACAGCCTGGATAGGTTGTTCCTGTCAGGAGGGCATCCTGACGACTCCCCTCAATTTCGGGTATCAATTTACAAAAAAGTCAGCAAGTCACAAGACAGAAACTTGCAAAACAAATCAATGATAATAAATGTACAGGCATGTTCTCACTTACATAACAACCCTAACACTAGAGACTGACAGAAAATGTTCAATAAAAATAAAGAGACTGAACCTTAAATTAACCTAACCTGCCTGTAGCCACAAGAGTGGCAAAGCCACAAAAGTCTCAGGTGCCAGTGTCTGTGTTTTATTTGAACAATCTGAATCACATGTTTGACAGCCCGTCAGGGTACGTGTGTCCTGTCTTTTCAGGGTAAGGTTTCTCAATTTCCCTGGGCACATAAAGGTCTCAGAGCAGTGAAGTCACGTGATTTGTCCCTGTCCTAACACTATTACTTTTGCAGAATAGAAAGAAACGAAACATGTTACATTTTCCTTGTATTTGTTAACAAATACCAAGAAAATAGAACAGGTTAATTAAAATATCTAACAGCTGCTTCAAAAAAGAACACACAATCTTCTTACTGCAAAATAACAGAAGTTGCACCATTACTTTTAGTGCCTCACTGATCTTGGCTCTGCTTCCTCTAGAAACAAGTGGGACACGCTTTTAAACCACATTACCTAGAACAGCTCTCTAAGTAGGATATCTAAATATGCAGCACAAAGCACACGAGATTACAAAGAATTGATGTCATCCTGTACAAGTTGCTCCTTTGCTTGTCATTTTCATTTTAAACCTATTTTTATTGCTGTCTCTCTCTGTTCTAGAGAATCGGGATCTGGCTGACAGATGAACAGCAGACTCACCAGCATTAAAAGGGTTTTTTTCCTCTTTTTTGGGGTGACATGGAGTGTGCTGGTGTGTGTTAAGTCTTCTCATAGCACTTGCTCTGCATGGGACAAGCACTGCTAAATTTAACCTGATCTGAACTGTTGACTTCACTGGAGAGGCTTAACCTTAATTTGGATATACAGGTAGATTTATTGGCTGTCCTCACTCTGTCCTTCAGCTTTCCCTTGTTCACTGGAGGCCACAGCTTCATCAGAAAGTCCCACATAATACAACACAAGGCAAATCTCAAATAGCAAATTAGCAGTTGGGGTTCAGGGGGATTGGGGAAGAAAATGCTTGGAAGACAGTGAGTGGAAGGAGAGGAAAGGAAGACCAGACAGGATAGGTTAAGCTGTCTCCAGAACGAAATCTTCAATTAAAGCTAATGACAAATACTGTGGCTTTAATTTCCACACAGTAAACAGTATATGTGAACAATTATGACAGCAATTCACCTTATGTTCTTAAGCAGGCTATAAATTAAAAAATGTATGTGAAGAAGCCCAGCACTGAATCCTAACTCCCAAACAGCTCAAACACTGGTAGAGACACATATGGAAGGCCAGTTTGTTCCATGCTTTCTGCACACTGCTAAGCAGATAAAAAAATAGGCACAACTAGATTTTTGAAACCAAACAGTTACACAGATTTTCTTTTTTTTAATGCTTTGCCCAAGATAAACCATCTTACTTTGTGAGTTCATGATCTGAAAGCAACTGCTTCAGATGTCTAGAAAGCAACTTCTTCTCCATGGAGAGACGAACCCAGGCTCGGGCCTTGCCAACATCTGTTTTGATTTCACTGATGTTCTGGATATGCCTGGAAAAAAAATAAAAAAGAAAAAGACATGCTTGGTATTGGCAAAGCATGACAGYTCCCTTGAACCAAGCTCGGCTGAAGTTCTGCAAACACAAAATACCAGGTAATTATAGGGAAAAAACCCATAATCACCTTAATATTCAGCAAAACAAAAAAATCCCTGCAATCTAGCTCAAAGAGAATAAGAGCCTGAAAAGGAAATATCTGCAGTTCAGTGCCCTATTTACAAAATTCTAAATCAGGCCCATTGTCTCACATGATTTAGGAATCATTCTGGACCTTATCGCTGCAATTTATGGCTGAATGCTTTGGAAAATTAAATACTGTCTTTGCATGCTCAGTAGAAGCTTTTCTTGCACACAAGAAACAAATGGTATATTTTAATAAGGCAAGCAAATCCTCAATTCACTCCTCTCTACTGAAAAAAACTGGATGTTGGAAAGGAAAAGGAAGGAAAGAAAAATCTTGCCAAGGTTATTTTAGAAGCTGTGCATATTGCTTTTTCAATGTACTGGATGCACTGGGCAGAAGTTGTAGTTATATTCACACTACAGTAGTGAATGTTAGATAAACCCATTCTTTAGATCAAACAAGTACTTTTAACTGCTTTCTTCCGTGAGAAACAAGAATAGTTTCAAAACTATACAACCAACTCAGCAATGACTGGGAAAACACAAACACTACACCCACATCTCTGTAAATAAACTAATACATAAGAAGTAATACAAAAAAATCAAAAATACAAAAACACTTATCATGGTATTTCCGTAAGTTAATAGCTCTGACAATATAAAATCTCCTCAGTATGAAACATGTAAAGGTCAATGAAAAAGCTGTACTACCTACTTGAAAATAGTTCACCAGGTTCCTTCCCCAAATCCCCCTCCTGCTGCATGAAACACAGGCTTTCCTGGATGGTGCACAATACACACAGGAACAAGTGTGCAAATCTCAGGGGGTTTCTGGGCAGTTTAATAGCTCAAACTCACCTCATATCCTGGATGAGTGAGATTCTCAGAGGTGACATGGCTGGACTAGTATCAGACTTCCGCCTTTCTGAATCAAGAAGTATTCCTAGATTCAGAAGAACAGAGTTTCTTGTTAGCAGAAATCCATCTAAAGATTTTGAAATCTATATAAAACAGAAGGTGAATTAACACCAGTTTGCACTCCTGTATTACTGGTTACTCTGTGAAGGTACTGTGCTATATTTCTTCTCCAAATGACATGAAAATCTAATATGCTACACAGATGGTTATACAGATCAGCACACACTGAACACCAACACATTACTGAGCTTGGATCCAGCTGAAATTGGTATGACATCAAATGGCTTAAGAAATATAGTAATCAAGTATTATTTCCTAAAGACTGCTTTGTTTTCTTGCTGTGAGAACACCAGAGAACAGTGTTTAACATGTTGTACTCGGTACACCACACCACGTGCTCACTGAGCTGTTACTTTGCACACTCCTGCAACACCCCTACTTTTTAAATAACACATTTTGGAGTTTTTAAGCAATATTGCCACTCTTACCATTCAAATTCCACTCCAGAATCAAGCATCTTTTTGTTTCGAACAACAAGCCTACTGTTCAGCTGTTTTTCAAGCCATAATGTAAAACTTCAGGGTGTACAGTGCAATTTTATGTGCTTATACTTGTTTTCCACCCCATCCATAACTTCATTTGCTCTGCCAGTCCTGCAGGGACTGTGTCACACGGAGGGTGATGTATCAGAACAATCAATTTTAAAGCCTATCTCTGAAGCATCAGCTATTTCTGGTTTCTGACTACCGTGGTAGTCAGATACCAGAACCAAACAAGTGGGGTCAACACAAAACAGTTTATTTTTCACAAAATATACTGAGACAACACACCAGGCCTGTATCAAGCCTGTAGCAGTCGTAACACTTGATTCAGGTATATTGAAACAAGAGTATTTCCAAGGGAAAAAAAAAAAAATACCTGCCTGGTGTTAATCTACAGGCAGCTCTTACTCAGAGCTTTTAATCATCTTCTTCCAGCATATGCCAAGCTTACCTGAGGTACTGAAGCTGCCTGACATGGCTCTTCTCTGTCTGTTTTCTAGGTAATGCAACAGATGAGACCACAAAGCAGACTTTCCCTACAATAAAAAAAAAAAAAAACCACATTAGTAAAAAAAATCTCTACCAAAAAAAAAAAAAAAAAAAAAAAAAAAAAAAAAAAAAGAAGTTAAATCATCATTGAAAGTATTAAAAAAAAAGCCATGACAAAAACTTGCTTTAAAGATGTTTCTCCCTATAAACTCAATGGTAAAAAATATAAATAAGACACAAGTTGGAGGCGCTTGAGAGCTGTAAAGAGGCTGAGAAGGAAAAAGAAGAGTTAGACTACTGGGACCTAATAATTCTGGTAACAGGAAAAATTGAACTTCTTTCCTCATAGTTCATTACCGTGACAAGAAAACATTTAAAGGCTTGTAAAACACTGTGTACAAGTGGAGTTTTAAATCTGAAGCTGTAACCTGTCCTGTGTGTCCTTGTCTGCCTGCCCTTCCAGCAGTGAAATGTCAGGAGACACAGAGGTAGCCTGAGCAAGACATCCCAGGCCAAGTCCTGCTGCCCTCAGGGTAATTCAGGATTACAGATAAATACTGTCCATGTTTAGAATCTTAAAAGATTCCCCTCAATTTCATCAGGCAAAGCACCTGGATAATCTTACAAACACAGTAAGATATCCCAAAACATCAGCAGGATAATAAAAGCTTAGCAGCAAAAAATACCCCAGTTCTACACACTGTAAAACCAACTTAAAAGTTATAATTTGGGATGTAGTATTTAGGCCAAGATAAATCCATCAGATGGTATTAAAAGGTGCACCTTGCTCATTATGTTGCTTTCTTAAAACCCTGGTGGCTTAAAGCAGAATATGAGAAAATCTTTCACTGGGAAACTATAAAGAGTCTTGGAATCACCGTAAAATATTTCTCATGATAAAACAAAGGCTTGCAAACCTTCACAAAGGCAGCTATAAGCAAACAGGGGCTCTCCAGCACATCAACTGGAACCGTAATTGTATCAACTGGATAATTAGTATTACTTATCTTCCTAAATTACTTTATTAAACTGAAATCCCAATAAAGGTCTAACAATTGTGCATTTCAGAAAAGCAGTCATGTTATAAGGCTGTATTTTTATTTACAGCTACTGCAGAAAGAAACCACAACTCTAAAGCAACAGCTGTCAATTCTGCACTATCAATTCCTTCTAAAATAATCTAAGAGGTGCAGTAATGATGGCTGATCTTTGATTTTTTTCTTAAATGGTATTTAAAAATCTCCAAGCATTTCCATCCTATAGCTCCCTACAGTAGACATAAAGAACTATTGACCATGATGGATTATTCCAGAAGTGCATGCCTCCAGAAAAATAAATCCTACAGTGTCTGTAGCATCCRTGCTGACAGAAATGTATTAAAACTATGCATTTAGTCATGAGGATATAAAAAAAACATCCATCGTGCCTTGTGTGTATCTGAAAGATCCAACATGGAAAGGCACAACTGCAAGTCTTACTATAAACAGATAAAAAAAGAGCATGAAAATATCAACCAGCAAAGAGTTCCATCCAAAACTGTGTTTCTCCCAATAAACACACACATGCACATACAGTCTAGTGTTCAGCAACTAGCTGCCATGGCAAGGAGAGCTGCAACAGATCACAGAAAGCAGCAGCAAAGGATCCTGCAGCAAACCGATGTCAACAACCATGATGAATGTGAGAACTCATGCAGTGTCTGCTCGCTCCTTCACCATCAGGGAACTCTCCTTTAACTTCACCAGATAGCAATGATGATGCAAGCTGGATCCATAAGGGGAAGGAAGACAGCCTAAGGAAAGCAGTGGGACAGAGAATGGGCAAGGGAATAACCAAGGCCTTCTGAAAGTCCAGACTACTTCAGTCATTAGAGCCTACATCACAACTCTGCTGCGCTGCTCGGGACAACGGAAGGCATGGATTCCCTCTGCACGTGGAAAAATCAGGAGGTAGCTAATGTAGGGCTACTGGGGTTCATCAGCAGGGAAGAGGTAAAAGCAGGGATTGGTGGAAGGAAAGCCATCCTCATTACTATGGTCAGTTGAGAAAGAAGAGTCTTCTTTGGTTCACTATTGAAAAATAAAATAAAATCAATGGATGAAACAGCAGGCTTTTGCATATTTCATAAAGGCCAGAGCACACAGAGTATGGGTGGTGCTTTTTTATTTTTTTTTTTAACTCTGGTTCATGCTATGAGATACACTGCACTTCCTCCATCAGGCCTCTATTTTATTCCACCACTCTATTTATTCCACCATTCAGCACTGTTTGCCAACATCTGCAATCAATCCAAAGCATTAACCTTATGAAGGGTTGGCCGTCTGGTGGTCTGAAAGGCCCAAATCTGGGTTGAAGCAGAGTATACTGATGCTCTGTCTTCTAAGACGAAAGCAGTACAGCTTCTATCCTAAGTGATATACAAGAGGGAAGGGAGAGAATCACATGATAAATCTTCACATAGAGAACTGTTAGAGAGTTTGAAGGAGAGCAGATTTAAATGCTGGCATTTGGGTGCTGGGAACAGACATACTGGATTACACTTGTCTGGATTATGTACATATATTCTGCACATTGTTTTTTTTTAAAAGAAGTTATAATCTTCTCTGTCCTTGCTACTCCTTTGTACAAGGGAGGAGTAAAGTTTGTAAGGGCTCTCCAAACTCCCACAAGTCTTGTCCCACAAGTGATTCCAAACAGAAGAGAACAACAAACAATTATTAATTTCATACAAATCCCCAACACCTCTAGCTAGTGATCTTGTAATCATAATTTAGGTAGCCCTACATCACTCAGGAAGAACCAAAATAGCAAGATTTTTAATCTGAAGTACTAAATTATCCTTCAGGAAAACAATTGCCCCATCCCACTGACAGCACCTTTAGGATATGTAACTTCATTAACGAACACAGCAATAGATTTTTTTGCCATCCTATTAGAAAAAAAAACCACCAATACCCACCGAACCAAACCCTGGGTTAAACAGAGAGCCTTCCATGAAATCATCTGTGGAACACATCTACAGGTACACTTGTACATATCCCACAGCATGGAGACAGACAGGGGGGCAGGAACTGACATAAAAGAGATTGGGGGACACACGAGTGTTTTACACATCTGCATACACACTAAAAGAGTCCTATGAAAGCAGAGAGAGGAACAGCATAACATGATTTCAGAAAAGTGTGCTCTGCAATGTACAGGAATATCAATCCCTCACCTGTTTGACTTGCAGACCGTGACTCCATATCCTTTCTAAGAGGTCACACAGACTGGCTATCAGGGTGTTCTCTTCCACTCCTGTGATATTCACTTCACCATGACCAAGCTCCACAGCTTCTCGACCCATTTTCTCAACCAACATCCTCTTAGTCTCAAAAAGGACAAAACAAAAAAGGAGTTAATTCTTTCTGCAGGAACTTCCAAGAGCACTTTAACGAACAAAAAAGCACACAATAACAAACATTTGGCAGAATAACTGCCTGTATATTTATTTCTGGTGCTAGTGCAGGACTGCAGTTCTTTTATCCCTGATTTTCAAGCCAGGACAGCACCAGTGATCTTCTGCTTTTCTAAAAAGGGGTTTGCAAATGGGCATTTCATCCTCCACAGAGAAAGGTAACAGCAGGTCACACATGGACAAGCTGGGTGCCCAGCAGCAAGGCCACAAAACACAGATTTTGGGTGGTTTTGAAGCCTGGTGAGTGCTGGATGAACTCCCCTCCTCTCAGGGGAAGGGCATGTGCCCAAGTGCTTCCAAGTAGCATGAGTATGTAATTCCTGGGAGATCCTGTTTTGCCAGATGAGCATTTGGATTAAACCAAACCCATTCTGGTGTGCACCTCTTCAGTTTCCCCAGGAATCACATTCCTCTAAATTGTGCACAATTTCACACTGGTCAACAAAGCTTTCACCAACTCCTAAAGTACAGTCTTCCAGTGACATGATACAGCCAAAAGGAGAAAAAGAAGAGGAAATAATCAGTTCTGCCCATCTCTTAGACATTTTTTTCATCTTTGTTCCTATTCTAAACTGGCTTTCAAATGAATAATACTCCATTAAGCACCGATGCACAGTCTTGGTTGAGATTAAGAAGTCCAAGTTAGTCCATAGCTGCTTCTCCTCTTCACTTGCTCCAGCACTTTCTCACTGTAAGAGCGCCAAGTGAGGAATTTTCCTCACCTCTATTAAAGGATGGGGATTATTTGGACAGTTCCATAAAGTGAAAACAGAAGCAGATGCACATATTAAATTGAGTTTTACAAGAAGCTGTTCATAATTGCTATGGTGCCTCCATTGACTTAAGGCAAGAATGTGTCTATTTCATAATTTTTCTCTTTACTGTATTTGTATAAACATTAACATTTACTTCAGATTAATACATTGCCAAACATACACTGGTGAAGCATGTCTACAAATTAATGTCAAATTTCTTTGTTAATTGCTTAAAAACTGACACCTCATAAACGCATTAATTCTTTTAAGTTATGAGAAAAGCTGCTGTATTTTCACCACAACCCTCTCTTCAGGACTATTCGCTCTTGTTGAAGCAGTACTGTCTCATCAGTTATAACTGAAATGTGCTATAATAGACTTGGGCAGTGGGATGGTAAGACCCTTCAGAATATTCAATCTCTATCATAAATCTGCTTGATAAAGTTTCTGCACCTTGCAGGATTTCTAAATTCATTCTCTCTTCATTAAGTTCTCACTACCATGCAAAAATCCTTATAGGGATAAAACAGAAACAGATGGCAGAAAAGGGGGAGGGAGATTTGCACATCATGGATACAAAATGATTCAGAAAGGAGGGATGTGAGGTGCAAGAGAGCAGAATTATTCTCTGTATTACCTTATTTCGGCATTCCTTCAACAAGCCTTCCACAAACTTCCAGTTTGTTTGGGCAATTACTGATGGAGAGAGGTTAGAGAGTTTGGGCTGCCGAATGGTGCTGCCCAGATTCCTGGCTTCTTGGATGTACTTCTGGATTGGCGGAGAAAATGGACAAAGACAAAAKTGCAAGTGAGATTCCCTGGTCAAGAGAAAAAGGTAAACTTATCTTCATAACCCACACCTCTGGAGTGAGGAAGAGAAGATCACATCCTCTTTCAGAAAAGACTCCCAGCATTATTTAGGGCTGAGACACTTAGGGCACTATTTCACCAGAGGTCAAATCCCCATTTATATTGTCTACATAGCATTATATCAAACATTGCTGAACTACAAAAACACAATACAAACTGCTGAGGATATTTAGATGCATACAGATTCAATTACTCCCTCCAGCACTGAGAAAATGGTCCCGTAACTTTTTCATTTAAATAAAAATTTACAAAAACTACCCAGACCAAGACTATTCAAGTGGCAGACTAGTCTATATGGGGACTGCAAGAAAACTTTGCTCTTTCAGGAAGCAGCTGCAAAATGCAAAGTATAACATCATCTCTCAGCTGTGAACCAGCTGCATYTTGGAGGAAAAAAATTTCCTGAACCCACTCTACTTGAAAGAGCTCTTCTGCTCCTGTCACTGCCATCAAGAAGTTGCCATTGTTTTCATCCCAGAGACAAGAACGATATTACAAATACTTTGGAAGCCAGGTGATCTCAGGTTGATTGGGGCACAGCTAACGGAATTAGTGATAGAGAGAAAGAGGTGCTGATGGAATACTCAGGATTAGTACATATTTCAAATTAACAGGAAACCTCTGTAGCTTACACTGAAATAATGACCAACTGAAATGTCAGTGAACAGATCTGTCAAACAAGACAAAGAGGGAAAATCCCACCTTCTCCACTGGCCTTGCACTAAAGACATATACAGTTAATTATGCATCTTTATCCAGAACTATGATTACAGTCATATTGTGCGTTTGACATACCAGGTAACGCTCTGACACAGATTTTACAGAGGGCACGAAGGGCCAATCATGCTGGTCCCAGTATAAACATAACTGCAACTGAAGCTCTGACATGGATAAGTCCAGGTGCTGGCAAGATAAGTTGGTAGCAAAAAGCCAAGCAGATGTAAAGTGAAAGTGGTAAGCACACATGAAGTAATAAAAGCAAGCATGCAAAACAGAAAAGGAAAAGAGTGAAGACATAATACAATGCAGAACTCCCAAGCATTCAACATAAAAATTAATTCATAAGTAATGAATCTGAAAGGAAAAAAAGAAAAGATGGTGTTAAATCAGTGGATTGGTGTCAAGTCTGCCCTCCGCTGGGCACAAATGTTTGCAAGTAAAAAGCCACTAAGTCTCAATTGCACGGATTTTTGCTGGCTGCCCCAAAGCTTCAATATGTTTGGAACTCACAACACTGCAGTTTGACACCTCCTGCTCAGCTTGACCCCCAGTGTTCATCTCAGAAAAGCTCCCACCCCACTCTCTCAAATTTACTGTGCGAGTCTGAGGTTCACCTGGGAGAAGGGGTCAATGTTCAATAACCATTATGTCACCAAAAAGGCACAGTACAAATCCCTAAAACACCAGCATCATTACCACAGGCACTTGGTACCCCAGATGATTTTAAAACATTTGTTCCCCAGAGATTATCTGCCTTTTGCAACAGAATAACTCCTATAGGAAATGAACTTKTGAGGATCAGTTAAAAAACAAAACAAAAAACCCCAGAGACCAGAGGCAGATTTTTGCTTTAGCAATTACCTGATTGAGAGCTCAGAAGTTTACATGCTTTAACAGTTGTGTTGTTTAGCACAATATTGAGGGTAGAAATCAACTATTATTAATTTCTGTTACTTCTAAGTAAAAAGCACTTGAGAGTTATCTGAGCATATGGAACATGTCAAAGCCAGAAACTACTCGCAGAGGTCTTTTATTATGCAGACGTTTTTCTGTTACATGGTTATGGATGACAGAGATGACACTATAATTTAACAAAATTTTAACAAACCAGCAAGAAAATTCCAGAAATTAATACACTAGGAAGGCAATTAAATTCATCACTACCATAAAAGAATGAACTGAACAAACATACTTGAGTTTTACAACACTATGCTAATAGACACAGGAGTACTACTACTTCTTTAAATTTTAAAATTAAGCTTTTGTAGGGATATTTAACAAGGCAAGAGAATATTGTTTTCAAGGAACAACATACACTTAAACAAAAGCAAAACTTTGGGGTTACTGAACAAACAAAAAATTCTAATATTTTGAGCCAGACTACTTCGGAATTACCCATAAATCAACACCTGGTGTAACAGTTTGCAGTCTGTACCATATGAATCAGAAACTGTACTGTAATTAGTTCAGTTCACCCAGATCTTTCAAAACCACTTCACCACAAAGACTGTGTCAGCTGTAGAAGCAGTGGTGAGAGAAGTTTCATTACAGAAGGTGCGTAAATCAGCATCAGAYCGTGCTATGTAAAAACAGGTACACACAAAGGTGACAGTACGGTGGGCTTCGCAYTCTCACCTTAGCAATGAGGTTGTCTGTCAGTCTGTCACCTTAAGACTTTTTTTATGGTCTACAGAAGACACTTAGGCAACTCCAAAAGACAATGCTCCTGATCTTAGGATGAAGTTAATCCCTTGCTAGAAGTGGTTATCTTTACTCCATCAAATACACAAAAGAAGCACAGGGTGACTAAGTTATTTAGAGATGGTAAATAGATGGCTGAAAACTATTAATTCCCCTCTTCCCACTCAACCCCTTTAAAAGAAAAAAACTCAGACCAACTTGAAATCATGTGATTATATTTTCAGAGAACCCTCCTATATGTGGGATGAAATAATCTTTTCCTGAGAGGGGGCAAAAATGACATAACTTTTATAATAAGAAAACTAAATATTTTTGGTCTGCTACTTCATTTGTATTACACACACTTCAGGAAGAGCAGACACGAACTGCAAGTAAGTGTCTAGACATTTCATAAAGGCTGTAGAGCATTTTTCAGGCCATTAGGAAAGAAAAAAATCAGATGTCTATAGCTGAGCAATTTTCACCTCTCTCTGGTCATTGTCCAGACGCAGGTGCTCCGTATGTTGCTTCTGTCTATCTTTCCGCCTCCACTGAGCAGGAGCGTTCCTCTTTGTCCACCTACACATGGGGGAATATCAGCAACAAATGTCAGGAGTCAGGGGAAGGGCAGAGGCAATGAGAGGATTTCAGCTTATTCTATACTGAACACCAACTCCATCAGCCAAAGTGCAGCTGCAAACACACACAAAGAATCTCTGGAGAAGAATCCAATCTTGGGCAACCAAAATATTTTAGAATATTACATCATATGAACTTGCTTTGTATTTTTCCTTTTTTTTTTTCTTTACAATGTCCAGGGACAATTTAAGCCTTGCCCCTCCTCCTCCAAAGTCATGATAAGAAAATATCCTAAAATATTTGCTAGTGCCTACCTGTGATCAAATAAGGGGATCTGCTTTTATATTGACAATAATTATAAGTAACTCAAAGTACACCAACCATCATCTCAAACATAAGAGGTCTTTCTTAGGTAAATTTGCTTCAAGAAATCCAGATTTAAAAAAGGAAAAATAAAACCAGACATAGCAAAAACCCCAACCCATGCAACCCACCCATATTATCTGATCTACTCCCACCGAAGAAAACAAACTCAAAAATTACTTTGCTTTCTAATATCTCTGCTTTAGTAGTATTCTATAGATCTTGCTGAGATTCTGCCCCTGTTGCCTTAGCTTACTCACTTGTTGCTTGCGGGGCCAGTGGATAAAACATCAGACTGAAGCTTAGGAAAAAATCCAAGCTCATATTTCCCTTGTCCAATTTTCATGTCCAGCAAGTGTGGGTGAACTGCAGTGTGATCTATTTTTGCAAGCCTTAATTCAATAGATTTCTCTGAAATAGTAAGAAAGTTAATGTTTTAAGGTGTTTTAATACGACATATCTAGAATCACATCTCTTCAATTAAAAGCAGAAGAAGTGGAAGTTGCTTACTTATTTCAACAGCACATTAGCATAAGAGTGTTTGTGACATCAAAGAATGCCATCAAAAAGAGAGAAACATTTTTCTTCTCAAGCTCAAACGTATTTCACAAACAAAGCATGCAGGAAAACAGCTGAGTTCTACTCTACATTACTTTCATCTCAATCTCCACTTCATAGAAAACATTTAGTCCCCATTTAAGCTTTACACCTATGCTCTTTTGGTCTATTTTTTTTAGGTTTCAAAGCATGAACCATTACTTAATGTCTATAACAAACAGCACTGACCAGCAGCACTAACTGTCAATCAAGTGCCTCAAGGCCCTTACCAGCCTCATCAATAGTTGTGCATTTTTGATACATAGATGTGCGCAGAGTCGGCGTCCTGACGTTCAGCAGCCTAATTTTATCCACCCTGGAATCAAAAACTCTCAAAACGGGGTCTTTGTCATCTTCATCATGGCACATGATCTTATTGTCAATGAAGGATGCAAACATTTGGGTCTCCAGGAATCTCGAGAGGAAAGGCAAGTAAGGTTCAGGCTGGTCTGACAAGAAAGAAGCCTAAGAGACAAGAAGAAATGAGGATGTTTGGGAGTCTGCAAAGAGGAAGAGAGCAAAAGCACTAGCAAAAGCATCAATTTTTCTGATCAAGGATCTATGAGAGTGCTTGGGGCCACTTAAAGCCTGGTTTCATACACATCAATTCTATTCCCAAAACAGGCAGTCTATATGAAATTTTCAGCATCAGGATAATCACCTACTACATAGCACAATAACACAATGTGTGATTTTAGCATTTCCTGAAACTTCTAAAAATTTCAACAGAATCCCAGCAAATCACACCAACATCACTGCAGGTGTTCATATTTGGTACTTCTGGCTGGGCTCACAGCTTGTGAAGTTGATGGAAATCTGTTCATACAATTTGGTAGGAATCAGATTAGTCTTTTAGCAGACAGTGCTGCAAAATAATCTCCACCGATGTGAACTCTCCTGCTGACAAATACCAAATCTCCAGCAAAGAAGACAGTGAACAAGTTTGAAGAAGTGGGTCTTATGTTTCTCAAAAAAATAGTTAGGAATACATTTGGTACACAGGTACACAAGCATTATTTGGGGTCATGACTTAATTCATTAACATATTTGCCACTTCCTCTGGTTAAAAATCAAAGCTGCCACTAGTAATACTTAACCTTAATGTAGATGTTAGCCCTGAAGTGAGGCTTTCTAAGTGATTTTTCTAGAGCAAGCTGTATTTTTCTGCACTATCCTTAAAAGCATATTTTTAGCTCTCCAACTCTACATTTGTACATATTTTTCCACATAATATTTAAGGTATGATTTCTCTGGGGAACACTGAAACTTAAGGAAGAAATTACAATTTTGACAGTAGTTTTCCATTTGATGGCCCAATAAACAGAACTTAGGCTTAAATACTTTTTCACTTCTTACATTGACATATCTTCTTATTACAACTTACTTTATCGAAGTTTTGCATCTGTTCTCTGTTAGTAAACCAGGATTCCTTGTCCTGACTGGGCTGAATGACAAACACTTCATAATCTGCAAACATTTGTGTAAAGCGGTTGGCAAAAACTTCCCGAATCTGAATGTTCAGCTGGTAAATCTTGAATTCTTCTTCATCACACTGAATTTTGAGATCCTTTTTGCTACTGGTTTCCTCTCGCACCTCCAGCTGAAAAAGTAAGGGAAAACACAAAAAATTTGTATTGATGCTTTGTCAGGTATTCCAGGCATACAAGATTTTAATCTGCTATTCAGCTGCTGCTACTCAAGTCAATGCTTCAATATAAAAAAAAAAAAAATTAAAGGAGATTTATGAAAACAGGAGTAAGACGGAGATCTTCAATTCATGGGGCGGGGGATGGCGAGCGGAATTAAGCCACAAGCATTTAAACACTAGTTTGAATTCACATTTGGTACCTCTGCCTTGGCTAATTATGATAAAAGGCACCAGCACACACAATCATAAAATCTACATCCTACAACAGCAAAAGAAAAACCTGAGAAGTGGAACAGAGTTTATTTGGGCAGCTAATCCTGCCTGGTAACCAAGTGCTGTTTCTCAGAGCTCCCATCCCACAAAGCAGCACTCCAACAAACCTACTCTAGGTCACAAAAGTTCTGTCTCTGTTTGGCCTCACCTGTATCCAAAGTTACAGCCACACAGGCAGGAATCAGCCTCAGCAATGAAGAGCTGGTCAAGCTAACTTAAATGTGCAAGAAATAAAACCTTTGCTGAAACAGTCTTTACTTCATAAAGGCTCAGAGAACCCACAGTGGTCTTTCAGATACTGTTTTTTTATGCACAAAGGGCCTAACTTTTTTTTTTCTCTCCACAATTCTAATAAAAAAATCCCATCAGGATCACCATGAGCTGTGCATGTTCACTTGCTAAGAATCTGACATTCTTGCACTTTAAAATATTAACCAGAAAAAAGCATCACAGTATCCTATGGCAAACATATTCTATACATGCAAAATTATATATATTCTACACACAATGAGAAAGGTATCTATAGAAACTAAGACTGGATTTGAACTTCAGAACTATCTAGATGTCCATATTAGCCACTGAAGTCATTAAAAAGCAGTACCAATTTAGAATAAATCTTAACACCAAAAATGAATAAGGCAATGTGCTGTTTCTAAACAAATTATCGTGGAGGACACACTGGGAGGATAGCAAAGGCTCTCCTAGACTCTGCAGGGTTAAATCTCTCTCCCCTAATCTTGTCCTTGTCTCTACAGGTGCTCACATGTTTGTGAACATGTTGACAGAAAGTTCTTTCTAGTGAAGACAGACAAACAGCGTCTTTGGACCATGACTTCAGACCATCTGCTACTGCAGAGTACAGATAATTCCATATCTTACCTTTTCTAGACTCACACCTGTTCTTTTAACAAGTGCTTGGAGTCTTGCAATAGTCTCATTTTCCTTTAGCAGCTCATAGGAATTCAGTGGTGATCCTGCTATGTTCCCATTTCTTTTATCAGAAACCAGGTCACATGATCTAAGGCTCTTCATCTTGGAGGCACTTTCGCTGCAGTGCAGGTTTCCATCAGGTGGAATTCCAAAAGCCATCAGTATCTCTGAAATTTCCTGAATGAACTCAAGTTTATTTGGGAACTGGGGTAGGTCTTCTGGCAGCTCGATGAAATGGTTGTCTACATCCACAAAGCACAGATTCGCCTGGGATTAAATTGAGAACAGGACACCATTACAACATCACTAAGCACATTATTAATCTTTGGGATCTGTGCTTATTTAAAGATTCAAATACATTTGCATTTGTTTGGTTACTCCCTAGAACAAACTTGCCCCAACAATAATTGAACTGGCTGGTTGGCTTTGAAGAATAAAACACAAGATATTTCCAGGTATTTTAAGGAGGTAACTGAGAACGAAGACTCGTTTCAAAGACATTTACTATGTACAAAATAGATTATAACATAAATTAGGTACAAATGTGTGATTTTTTTCATGCATGTACAGCTAAATTTTAACTAATCTGCAATTCTATTTCATACGTTTATATGTAAGCAGGTACTGCTTGTTGCTCAGATTAAGGAAATAACAATCTAAAAGGTGTGCTGATACTGCAGAAGTTGCAATAAAGTTATCTTTCTCTTTTTTGTAAGCAACTTGAGAACTAAGGCAGTTCTTTGAATGAGCAAGTCTGTTTCCAAGGGTGCAAATGAAATGAACTAGTTTCCATTTTGTTTTTCTGTTCCAACCTCCAATTCACTTACAACTAAAAATAAGCAAGGCAGGGGGAACAGAAAAGAGAAGAAAAAACACCTATGTGGCTTCCACAGCAAGATCAAAAGAAGCTCTGCATCTTTTGAGGTCTACCCAACTCTGTATTTGGTAAGGGGAAGGTTCCCCTTTTGGCTTCTGCATTGCAAAATCTGTATCAGACGGTTTCAAGACATTGCATAACTCCACACATCACAGCAGGAATGCAAATCATGTGTGAAATCTCCTGGAAAGTTATGAACAGAGAAGAAACTTTGGTCTTCTGCTGAAGCATTTCAGTTTCTCCTCACTGCAAAATTAACAAGGACTGTCACTATTCTGTTTAACCTTCACTACACAGAATGCATTCACTCAGATTAGGAGGTATTTTCAACCTAACTGCAATACATTACTCTACGAGGCACACCCGGACTCAGGTCTCACTACAGCTTTGCAGCACAAGCACTTATCAGATCTATGAGAGCTACCAGATCTCACTAATTTGCAAAGAACTAGTCCAATTCATGCTCTGCTACAATATTACCCATAGCTACAAAGCTAAGCATAATTCCAGTTCTCTACTTTCTGATTTTAGGAAATCTGGAACTGGAATTTTAATATGGGGATCAATTTCTTACGTTCAAAGGAATGCGTATAGAACAGCTTAATATCACTTGTATAGATCCTTCACTGGAAATTAGATCACAAATTGAATTAGGTGTTGCAAAAGAATCCAAGGGGAATAAAGAGAATTAACACATTAATTCTGAAACAGTTTCTAGTGCACCTTAGAAAAAGCTTTTCTCTTCACACAGGGCAGGTGGCATTGCAGATATTTCCCCAGTATCAGCACTGCTCCAAGGCAGCAGATGGTGTGATTGCCCACCAAGCAAGGCAGCCCAGGGCAGGGCAGGGCAGGGAATGCACTCGGTGGGCTCCAGGCTCCCATTCAGACAAGCACTGGGCCCAGAGGGACACCATGAGCACAGCAACCTCTATGCTTCAAGCAAGCACCTGAACTCAGGAGCTCCAGGATTCCCACATCCATGGTTCCATGATGATCAGAAAACAAATCAGCTGATATCTGTCAGAAAATACTGTAAGCACTTCAAGACAGGAGAGAAATAATGCTTTGAAACCAGCACAATGCCTACCAATCAGTGCTGAGGGAGAAACAAAAAGCATTGAATTTGCCTCAAGCAGTCTGCAAAATAGCAAGATGGACTCAATAAGAAACTCTTAAAACAGTTTAATTATATTACTTCCTTTTACAACTTTCTTTAATTGACGCCATTCAACTATCCTTTCTTTTTGGATCAGATTCTGCACAAAACATCACTCTTGGTTAAGCTTGGTTKCACCCAAAAAGGATTTGGCCAAAAAGGAAGGAAACATTAACCTTACCAACATAAAAATTCTAATCCTCACATTGAAATTAAACTCCTTGCCAGTGGAAGAAAAAGCCAAATTTAATGCTTGCTAAAACTGCTTGTAAGTATCTGGGCTAACACCTGGTTAATTCTTCCAGTAGGTGAAATTCCCTTCTGCAGAGCTCCTCTCGAAGAGCAATACACACAGTTTAAACACTCTGAGCTACTAATAATGATTGCTTATCATGCAACTTATTATTACATTTCCCAGAAATTGCCCTATGTGGAAACATTAAAAAAAAAAGTTAGCGTGCAGCAATACTCCAAATAGACCGTAAAGAATATTATCAGAGACACTCTAGCTATCCAGTACCTGGTTAACAACACAAGACAGACAACTACCCAGAGCAGCATAAGCAAAGATTTCACAGATGGCTTTAGCCTCTCTTAACTCAGGGAACCTAAGGTCATCCTCAAGAACTGGATCCACAGTTCTGAAAGGGCTATGTTCCTCATGGAACACAAATGGCAAAAACACCCCACTGCACAAGCTCTCCAAGAGGCGCCAAAACAACATATTTCTGTAAAAATGAAACCTGAAATAAATAGACTAGCAGTAACAGACACCAGAACAGTAAATCTTGCCATGCTGCTCTATTACAGACCCAACAAAACAGAATACCGTAAGGAAAACAGTATCATAGATCCAACAAAACAGAATACAGTAAGGAAAGAGGGGTCCCCTCCTTAAAAATTACAAGACACTTATTATTTATGAAATCATGGTCATCCAAAGCATTTTGCACGCTAGGAACTGAGCAAATACACAAAGCAGAAAAATAAAGGAGTTCTTTGGGCACAATGGTTTAGTTATTTTGTCTCTGGAGGCAGCACGGTTGAGTAGGCTGTGAATAGCTGACAGCTCTGCATGTCGATACACTATTATTTTACCCACACAAAACTAAAATGCTATAAAGACAAGATACTTGGCAACAATGTGTAAGTAGAGATGTAACTAAAAGAGCATCCTTAAGTTATCTGCGTGGTATTTCAGGTCTCTACAACAGTCAAATAGTCTTTTATTTGTTGCTCAGATACCAGTTTTCTGATCAAAAGAAAATGCCGAACAGTTACACACCACTTCACCTGAATAGCAGTTTGTCACCAGAGAGAACACATTACATCATCTACAATAAAATGTTCTAAGACACTACACTGAGGAAAAAGGATGTCAAATCCTAATTTTAAAACTTGTCCTTCCCATAAACTTTTATCATCACAAGTAGCAGAGTGTCCTAGGTTAGCTGAGTATTGTATTCCTATCATCTGCTTATGTTAGAGGAAAGTTAAACAACCCTTCGGTAACTATACATTAGTCGAGACTGCTCTGGTTTGTTTGGTGATGTTCCTCCCTTCAAGGACAATGGGAGGGAAAGGGACAAGACACGCACGGTTTTTTTTTCCCTTCCGGGGAGGCTCAGGATCAGCTGTGGAAAAAGAAGCTGCCTGCTCTCTGGGACTGCTTTTTTTTTTTCTCCCTTTCTTTGGACTTGTTTTTCCTCGAATTTTTTTTTCCGTCATCTGAGAATTGGAGGATTTTTTTTTTCCCGTGGCACAACAGGCGAGAAAGATCCTTCAGTGAACCACCGGAGAGAGACTTTGTCCAACCCCTCTGGGGGCCCGGAGGGGAAGCTACTCCCAGGAGGGAAGAGAAAGGCTTTGGAATCTAACAGCTGATTCCACAGGCTTTTCTTTTTGTTTTTATAATTTTAAATAAATAGTTGTTTTCCCTTTTCTTTTCACTTTCCTCTCTGTGGAAAAGTTTGTCTCGGGGACCCGGGTGGGGAAAGGAGAGGGGGGGAGGTTTGCTGGAACTTGGGAGTGTTTTGCTCCCATTTGAGTTCGTTCMAACCAGAACACAGGGTGTCCAGGTGAAAGTCTTACAAACGTTAGAAATGTGGATCTAAGCAAATCAGTGTTCATGGTGTATCTGGTGCCAATGCCTGGTTCCCTGAAGCCAACAACACCACTTTCCAAGGCTTAGTGGGATCTGGACTATGCCCATTCATTCCAATGCCAAAGGACTATTGCAATTCTTTAGTTTGACCTCAAGCACAATAAGAGCCAAAGCCCCACACAGATCTAGCAGGGCCTGCATCAAGCCCATATCCTTCCTTTTAGCTCTGTTTAAAAGTACAGAAGGAAATTATTTGGGTCCTGCTCGAATACAGCACTGAAAGCCGAAAATCCATTCATCTACAGCCTGCAACAATTATGCGCGTTTGGTCCCAACCTTGCAAATAACCACACAATATTTACACAGCAAGCAGGGAATGTCGATGTGCAACTTTATACACATGTGGCTGACTAGTGGAAAGTGTGCCTACAGTGGTCCTAAATTCTAAAGGACATTCCTGTGCCATTCCTGTATGAAAACAGTAACCTTCTGCACATAGTCTCAGCACTGCTGTCCTCCATATTAACCCAGAATTTGGGACTGAGAACAGCTTACAGCTCAATGCCACTGAAGCTTTCAGAAACTTCTCAGGTGGCTGTTCACACAGAAATACAGGAAAACATAAAACTGAGGTCTGTCAATAAATCTGCAGTATTAGCAAGGATCAAACCACCAGCAGATAGTCTGACAATGCATACAAAGCAGTGATTATCTTTACATTATTATCTTGGGCTAATGTGTTAGCATGTAGGGGAAAAAAGGCTTTTCAGGACACCTTTCTTACCTCCTGAAACAACAAACAAAAATAAAAACCCACTGAATTTGTTAAGGTTTAACACTGAATAACATCCTTTAAATGGTTGAAATAAAAACACTGATAATATATATAACCTGTTTTATATTATCAGAGAAAATGCATTTTAGGTTTTAAAATCTTCCCATTTTTCTAAAAGAAAAAGCTATTGCCCAAGACCCTTGGGATCACTTCATTAAAAACAAGTTTTTAATGAGATACTACTTTGGTTTCACCAGTGCTGGAAACTCAGTATTGCTTTTTTCCAGTGAAAAGAAATAAAAGTTCTATCATTCTTCTAAATTAGAGCAGCAAGATACACATACAATCCAGCAGCATGAAATGGTCTGGATTAACTTCCTTGCTAAAAATGTCTAGCATTGCAGAAGTTTCTTCAGAAGAAAATGCAAAAACACATCAATAAAACCCAATCTTACTTTAGTACTTGCTGTGTTTGTGATCTGTGAGTGAACTGCTAAAACCACTTTTATTCATCAATTTTACTGATAAACAAACCACTCTTCTGCCAGCAACATCTGAAACAGCTACATGTTCTTCCCTCCCCCTTTCACATCTGCAGCACCTTGTTCTAGCAGGGCTTCTCCCCAACCACAAGGATGCTCATGCAGACACAGGGCTCTCAGAAAAGCAGCAACACCTCTGAGAACAAGCACTCTACTGCTGACATGCACCAGAAACTCAACTCCACACTAAACCTCAGCATTTCCTAGTTTCACTGCACTGCAGGTGCTCAGGTCACTGGTCTTCAATGAAATCTCCATCAGGGGTGGTTTTCTGATGTACCCAAGGCATCATGTAAAATTGAATTTTGTACTAACACAACATTTTTGTTGGAAGATTTTAATCAACATCTGACACAAGCATTAACTTCTAGGATACAGCTGGGTTTCCATGCTCAAATGATAGAGCATTCCCTGGAAGCACCAGACATGACCAAAATATGGGAAGCTGCCACCTAAACAACCCTTATGACAGATGAGTGCAAGACTTACATCAAGGCAAAACTACTGAGATGGGACCAACAGGATTTTCACTTTATTAGCCTAAAAGTATTAGTAAAACACTGTGAGCAAGACAAATCAGTCTTTTTAAGTCTTCATTATACATGAATGAATGAAGAAGTCACAATGAACAAGTCTATAGTGGTACTGAGGTTGTGCCAGACAGCAATATTATTTTCTTCCACAATACCCTTCAACTGAGAAGCACTAACTAGATTTTCTCTCAATGCTCACCTCTTTGGCCCCTGCTGAAATCAGATAGTGCTTTCTTTAACAGCAGCTGTCCCACACACCCATGTAAATAGATTAGGAACAGAGATGCAGCTTAGGCAGTTTCAAGACAAAGAAAAATATTTTTTTGCAGAACTAAGAATAAATTGCAACACAAAACAGCTTTTTGTATACCCTTAGTGGTAAGTGAGGAAAATTCTGATACTATGAACCAGGAGCCTAGCAGAGTTCCTCATACCCTAATAAGTTCATAAATATTGATATACATTCCAAACTTCAGAAATAAACAACACTAAATATTAATATCCCCTGTGACACTGATGTACAAATAATGGAATCCATATGTCCTTTTTACTGTTATGCAACAACACATTATTCATGTTCTTTGGCAGTTTTTGGCTGTTGTTCTATGGGGGGTTGTTTGGGGCTTTTTTTCTCCTGTTCTTCCCAACATACTTAGCCTCTTGAACATGCAAATCTATTGTCATAAGATAACTTTTTAGTTATTTACTAAGAGACTGGAGACTCCAGTCCATTCCTATGCCACAGCTACATCTCCAGCCTGTAATGCAAAGGAGTCCTCCAACAGCTCTCAAGAAACCTTACTCAGCACTGCCTAAAGAGGGGATTTCTCAGACTAGGTCAAACTCATGATCTACAAAGTTTTAAGAGCTCATTCTTCAAATAAGAAAGAGAAAAACTGTAACTTCAGAAGGACAAGGAAGTCTTGCAGCAAACTCCACCACATGGGCACATTGCTGATGCTTTCTGTCCTGTGTGTCCTCCCCTTGCAGACAATTCTCATCTCTGTAAGGTATTATCAAAAATCTACTCCACCTTCACAAAAGGCTACTGTGAAACAAAATGTAAATTGAGGTGTCAGATTACTTTTTAATAGTACTTGGGTTTCATTTTGAACATCTAAAAATAAATCAACTGCCTCACTTTAAACCTCCAAAATAAACTGATAAATCTCTTCAAAACCTATTTACCTTTTAAATAATTGAAGTATCTATTTGAAATTAAAATAGGTTTATTTATTTGGAAGTATTACGGTGATTTTAAAATGAGGAAGTTCTTTACCAGGAAGAAGCTTGTGGTAACAGTGAAAACATCCATGGTGTATATTAACATATATATGCACACATGCATTTTATTTCATCAGCTATTCTCTCTAAAAAGTGTACTAACCATATTAATTAGGCCTGTCAGTACAGCCAAAATTCTGAAAAAATAGTAAAGCAAAGCAATAGAGTGCTGTTTTCATGGCAAGAACATTCACTACTCTGCTATTAATTATGCCAGCGGAAAAAGAAGAGAGGGAGACAATAAAGAAATCAAGAGATTAAACAATATCATTTTCATAGGAAAAAAAATAACACAGTTTTGAACTTTCCAGGAAAAACAAATGAAAACTACCAGCATATGGATTTGAGAAAAAGAGCAATGTTGGCATGGAGACCAGACTGGAGGTTCACAAAAATATCTTGTCTTTAATTTCAAGCAGCTTTTAAAAAGGAAGGGGTTTTTTGTGTCAAGCTATGCTGCAGCATTGCCTGATAATGAAAACAAAAACCACCACCACAAAGCCCTGGTGCCTGCCACGCTTCTGCTTTCCCAGAAATGCAAATGGTAATAGAAGAAAAGCCAGAGTCAGAGAAAAAGGCAGAGGTTAGAGAAGCCTCCCAGGGCTGTTAAGTAGGGTGTTTCCCATGATTTATGGGAATGTTGATTCCTGCAACATTACACCCGAAAGTAAGTAGATCGTAGCAGGTGCCAGGCATTTCCTCTGCTACCTTGGGTAGTGCTCAGCTCAGAGCTGGGACTCCTGGGACTGCAGCTCTCACAGGGCACCTCAGCATTATCCCAATAAGCAGGAGTTTGCTCAAGTACACGCTGACACTTGGCTGCAGGCTGAAGCAGGCATTCTAGGAGAAAATCTGAAATGGGTTTGTGCAGACACCTGGCAGGCTGGGTCCATGCAAGCCAAGCCCAAGCGAGAAAATCCAGTGCAGGGAAAGCCAGCCTAACCCCAACCAGCCAGGAACCAGCAGAGCACTGACGCCAGTCAAGTTCTGCTCACACACCACCATACAGCAGCAGCCGTGGGGCTTTTTGGCCACAGCTGGGGAATTCACACTGCACTTCCTTGCATTATGAGGCTAAATTTTTTGCAGCACAAAATTGTTCTTTCTGTAATACTAAACATATCAATTCCTGCAAAATTACAGTTGAATTCTGTCAGAGCACACAATTTCAAAAGTAGGGGTTTATCTATTTCACCAGATTTTCATCAGCATCTCCAAGAAATAAAGATCTATCCCAAACCAGAGCTAGCAAGAACTTGACAATGGCTGTTACAGTTGGCACTTGTGTTTTGGCTCATTTCTCACCTCCCTCATAGTCATGGACAATATTTAATTAATCAAGACGAGCTCCTCTCACCTCTTGAGGAAGTTCCAGCTTAGACCTATCATCCAGTCCATTAGAGTGCAAGCCCATGAGGTARGGGACAGGAGCATCTAGAAAATGAAGGAGGGATGCTGGAAGGATAGGAACATACACATGCTGCCACTGAAATGGAAACATTAGTGCTGTGATGGTCTCTGCTACTGTCATCAGCCTCTGATAATCTGAAAAAGATCAAGAAAAATTAAAATGTTTTTCACAAATATTCTTAGGTAAATTAAGCTAAAGAAATGAGAATTTGCTTGAAAACAGAAACCACAAAACCCAGTATTAGCTGAGTGGCATCATAATGAAAACCCAGACCTGCACACCCAGCACATTTTGCTGAAACAACAAAGAGAACTCAACCCAAAGTAGGTCATTCTACAAGTCATATGGAAATGAGAAATTCAGCCTTAAYGCATGCTAAGCCACTTTCTGCTACCTATACCAGGGTCACCAGGAACATCAGTTTGAATACAGAAGCAGCACTGTAATCAGTTGAGAAACACATCAGAAATAATTTCTTTTCTCTGTGCTCAGGGCTTTCTATGGAAGCCTTGGATGAAGCCCAAGGCATCTGGTACCTCTCAGATAAACATTTTTTAAAAGAGTGTTTAAATGCCTATAAAGCATGCTGTAGAGCAGCCAACCCAACAGTGTGACTGAAATAACTATGCAGAAAATGAAAAGGATCAGCTTTGTTTAGCCTTTGCTGTGTTCAACCAAAGCCTCAGCTTACTGTAAGAAAAAGCACATGCCCTCCTAGAACATAGGAGCTGTGTTAAATGTACCTGTGCAACACACTAAGAGATCTTTTTATTTAACACTGGTGGCTACAGCAGTTCACACTGCAATGTGCTGGGCCATCACCTCACCCTCCTCTTCTGCAACTACAGTCATCTCCAAGGGTTTTCGAAATCCCATACAGGGGGAGGGCAACACCAGATGTGTGCTCCAATACAGCTGCTGAAACATCCAGACAGCTTTTGAGCTGCCAGGCTGGAAAGGGTATAAAACACAACTAGGGCAATTGCTGCCTTCAGTCAGGCTATAAATACAGCACAAACTGGAGACACAGGATGCCTTTTCATAATATTGCAACAATATCTAATTCCAGCCAGCAACGGGGAGGGAATAGGAGGAAGGCAAAAGTCAGTAACCTTCAGATATGTGTGGGATATGCATGTCTTCTCCTTTCATAAAACTACAGACACTGTGAAACTGGAAAAGACACTTGAATGCACAGGCTCAGGTGCAGAGATTCCTGAAGCTGTTGCAAACTGTCACAGAGGGCAGATGAAAACCGCAAGGATAACATTTGTTCTAAACACTCTGGAGAAAAATTAAGCTTAACTGTGCACTTCCCAAGGTTATAGCTTTGACTCTATCCTTTAGCCAGCCTGCACTCAAGACTTCAGACAGCAGAAAAAAAAGGCCAATAAATTCAGTTCCTGGCATTCAATATTAATTTTGTTTGGAGACAAAGTTGTAGAGTTTGGGGTCTGCAAAGAGCCCCACAACCCAAGAGGAACTCAGCATAAGTTTTGCTAACATCACTCATAATTCAGCAACTTAGGTTTTTGATTTTTAATTTTCATATCAAGCTATGCTGGTGGAAAAGGTACAGCCTTTGCATGGACCTACCTGTCACTGCCTCACAGTAGACTTACTATGGAGGAGCCTTCAACCAAAACAGATGAGAACAGCTTAAAACAGGTTGAAGTTTTTGCCAAAAGCTGATTTGGAGTGAAACACCAATGAACATCAGCAGCAACACTCCCCTATTCTGCCTGGACACCAGTTTCTGCCTACACATCTACTTACAGGTTTGCTGCTTTAATCAGAGCCTGACTGCAAAGAAGTGATGAATTAATGATAAGCTTTGGGAAGAAGATTCTATTCCATATCCTATTTTCTTTAGTTTTAAAAGGAACTTTAAATGTACACAAACATTCCAGCTGGTTTGCCTTCAGCTTGTTTATCTGAAAGAAGTCTCAGAACAGAAACTGCGTACTACACAAAACCCCCTGTCTAATCCTGGTCTATAATCTAAATACAACTTCTCCCTCTGTCATCTAACTAACTTTAGAACTAGCCTTTCAAATTAATTACAAAGTAACATCAATAGTTCAGAACTTCTATCCACTGGGCAGCCACCTCCTGCCACCAAGCTATCTGCAAATGCAGCTCGCTCGCTGATCCTGGATATCCACATGGCTTAAGCCAGTCCTAACTGTTTGGCTTGCCTGCTCACAGCTTGCATTCTGCACATTAGGAGCTGGCAAGGACAAAGGCAAAAAGCCTGCAAACATAAACCAAAATAACTTCTATGTTTTCTTAATTATACCCACACTTAGAGGGTACAGAGAGGGGTTTTAGGTTTAAAGAGACAGCAAGCAGCACAGTTCTAGTGCCAAAGAATTACCGGTGATTTAAAAATAATAAGATTAAAAGAGTGAAGAAGCACTTCAGCAGTGCTGTTGCTCTTATTCTTRAAATCAGAATGTGCTTATTCTGGTGTCAATGACATGGTCTTTTTGCCTTGCAGTATACACAAGCACTAGTAGGGAAATAATGACATGACTGGGGCACTGTTAGATGGGAAACTGTTTTACTGATCACTATGCAAGGAAAAGAAAATCCACTATTTTTTAATATGGCCACTTAAAAACACAGAAGAAGGCTGATTTATTATTCTAACTAATTGCTGTAGATAAAATACATTATCCTTCAGTGTGTATGAGAGAAGTTATACAGCAGTATTTATCTGCAAAAGATAACTAAAAATGAAATGGAGGGGTCTTGTGTCTGGAAAAAGAGGAATAGGATGGGAAGAAGGTAGCAGCTCTAAGAACTGTAATTCCACCTCTCCATTTTCACATTCTACCACAGAAAAGTCTGTCAAGTGCCTACAGAAATCCTCTGACTCAGCCAAATTTAAAACAATTATATGATCACATTTTGGAACTTTTTTTTTTATTTTAATCTTCCTACTTCATGCATCACAATGAAATACTGTTGTATTTGTCAATTAACTGACAAGTATCTTCAAAAAACCCTCTAACTGCAGGGTTAGAACCAGCTGTGGTTAGTAGAAGCAGTGGGGTGAAGTACCTCCTATTCTGTGTCTGACACAAGAATTCAAGTTCCTAAATCACTGGAAGCATAACAAGAAAGTGTACTATGTAAGAGATGAGAGTTAGGTAGCACAGGAGTAATACTGCAAAGAAATTAAACTAATACTTTTGTGTCCACAATGAACATAATTTAAAACATGTGAAACAAAGGTGGGGAGGAGTGATTCAAAGGCAAAGCAGAAATAAAAGCTATTTATTTCTACGTAAAATGGCAGCATACAGCTGCCATCCAGAAAATAAAAATGTCCAAGATCACAGTCTGTGGCAGCAGTGCATTACATTTCTCCTTTTTTTTTTGTTTTTAGCTGCTTAGAAAAATCACCTCAAGCAGATTTCACAGCTGTCTTAACTTAGTACCCACTTTTCAAAAGAGCTCTAGGTGCACTCTGAGATAAGGACTAAGTCTATTTCAGTTACAAGAGCAACATAAATTGTAGGAATGCAAACCAGCTCCCACAGAATAATCTGACAAGGACACTTCCCACAGGCCTCCAGCATCACTGTTTCTTTCCAGAGTTCCTCAACACTGCCTCAACACTAGCAACAGTCTCAGATTCTTCCCCCTTTTACAGGCACTGCATGCCTTCTACATGCCTTTTTCCAAACAGGAGATAGGTCTCTCCACAGGGCAATCAAATTAAGGCGTTCATTCCCTACACTTGGCTTACAGCAATCAAAAATACACAAGGCTGTGCCAACATAGTGGGACAAAAGAAGAATTTCCAGAAGCATCAAGTCAAAAATATTTCAAAGGAATCTTAAACAAAAACACTTCCACTGCTAAGTGAAGTTACTCCTACTCCAAGGACTGACTGAAACATAAAACACTAAATAATTTGTTCCAAAAAGGATTGCACTTGGCAACAAGATCATAAGAGACACATAATCACGAAAAGGTTTGGGTTGGAAGAGACCTTAAGATCATCTCGTTCCTTCAAGAGGTTTGGTGGTGTTTCATTGTTTTGTGTGTGTTCATTGTTGGATTATTTTTTCAAGTAAACCTCACAAATCTGCTGATCTTGACACACACTGCTCTAAATCTAAATCCACCCAATGACTATTGTAATCTCATCTGACCTAAGAGAACAAGAAATTATCTCTGTCACCTCAACTGTCATGAGTTTGAGCACCAAGAGATTTAACAAACTCAAAGGACATTAAAAAACTTAGTATTTATATTCTGAGGAACAACCTCACACTGGTGTGCATGCAAGGACATGAAAAAACCTTTACAAAAAAAGCCATTTCTGATTTCACCAAAAACTGAGTGCACCACCACCTGTATTGCCATATGAGATTTCCTGTTTCACAGAATAAGCAAAAATCAGATGTTACTCAACCACACTGAATAAAGAGCCAAATATATTAGGAACCCATTCCAGTTGAAAACAGCAACAAAAGCAACCAAACAAAAACAAAACAAAAAAGCACAGGGATTAAATTCTTCAAAACATCCTTAAGAAAAGCTATTTCCAAAAAATTTGGCTACTGTTACTGAGAAGACACTGCTGCAGCCAATTTACCAAACCTGAGGGTCAAAATTCAGCAAACAAATGACTAAAATACTTTTTCTACTGAAAGAAGACTTTTCAGCTGAAAACTAAGGTGAGAACTTGACAGAGAGACAAGACACTTCCATAGGGTACAACACAGCCCAACTCAACCAAAGCTTGGCATGGAAAGAGTGGACAGAAACCATCTTAACTGATCCCTCATCCCTCTAAACTCCAAATGTCTGTGCCTGCAAACAAGAAACTCAAGTGTTCCAGGGCTATTTTCAGCTTCTTTAATTAGCCCCTGATCAGACAGCTGGAAAGGGCCCAAGATAGAAAGCTGAATCTATTAAGAGGACTTGGAAAGAGAAGCCAGAATACAGAAGGCTAGCTCAGAAGTGAGTTGAGCTCCAGCCTGGGACAAAAGAGCACTCATAAAGACATGGCCTGGAAAGAGACCCAGGAGCATGTTCCCACATGGCAATGCACACACTGCTTTTCTGAAGAGTTTCCAACCTGCCAGGAACACACAATTCCACCACAGGAGTCTCAGGCACCACTAGAGGCCAACACAACCACATCCTTCTTTAGATGGAGGAGCTGATGTTTGAATCCTCCAATGGTGGGACACAGGTATCCACATAAACAAACACTCCCTACGTCTCAAACATATAAAAACCTAATCCATTTCAGGGGAAACGACAAAAGAAGCTTGTCTGCTAAACAAGTATTTCTAGATCTGCTATGAACAATAAGCAAAGCAATTTGCTTTTTAAATCCAAGAGGGTAAYGACTATAGAGTTCAGTAAGGTTTTTTTAGTATATCTGCATTACTGGAGTTCACAGTGTTTATACAATAAAACAACTGCGATGTAACACCCTGCTGCCATTATACACTTTTAATCACCCTGACTGTACACACAAATCCATCCTTGACTTTAACCTATACACAGATATTAACACACAAACATCTGCATTTCACACTTGGAGAAGGCTGCTGGTAACTACAGGTTTTATTTTGTAAATCGTTACCACTTATGTTCTACATATTTCAGTGACAGGTCAAGGGAAGAAACACTGGAAACCAATTTCAGCAACACCATGGAATAGCCCTGGTGTTGTCTGGAGGTCTTTTAGGCTTCCTAACCATTACTATAAAACAGTACTCAAACTGTCTACTTAAACCACACTTTTCTGAATGGGTGAGTCTGGAGTAATGCTGGTCAGCTCAGGACAAAGGATAAAAAAAGAAGGTAGAGAAATTATCTTTTGGCATAATTCCATATACTCTGTCTTAGAGAAACAGGATGCAGAATAAGAAGGCCAGTATCCACAAATTTCAACACAGAAAATAGATACCACTCCCACACTTCTCACTAATTGATAAACATGCTATTTCAGCTCAGTTGCTGCCTCTCCTCTCCAAAGCAAGCTTTAGCTACCTGGCTTCAGCATTAACTGCTTCAAAACCTTAACAGAGATTGAGGATGTGGATTCAGTCAAAACTTTTTTCAGGTACTTATCTTTCAAAGTAACAACTGAAATGTGACTGGGTACTCAAAGAGTATTTGCATTATTAACTCTTCTTCAGAACAAGATGTATAATTAATTGTGTATCCTCTCAAAATGCATGGCCAGCTCCGCAGACATAGGAAAGAATTCAGGTAAGCCACTACCCAGTAGCACAGTTCCAGAGCCAACAATAAAGGGGTCAGCCAATCCATAAATAGAAGAGATGGTGTGAAAACCCAGTTCTAAGTTTAGGTGTCTAACAGCAGGAGACAATGCAACACTCTCCTTACAACTCCAGTGCTTTTCTTTACATGAAGACCTGCACATGGATCAGCCAGACTGCATTAGCATGCTCATGCCACTTTAATGCAGCTTTTCTGCTGTTTGTGTGGTTTTTAGTATTCAAGACACAAAAAGACCTTATGCCCATATAACTACAAGATAAGAAAAGAAAACCCAAGTACTCACGCTGTGAATAAAGCAGTATCTGAAACTCCAAAAGGGCACAGGTAAAGAGTTGAACCACATTTTCTACTCCAAGCAATTCAAAAACTTCTTTAACTGGAAAATCAAACAATGGCAGTTCACTGGTGCTTGGCCTCTGGCAGATAATTGGTCCATAAACACCTGAAAATTTTAGTGACCTTCCTGCTGGAGGAAGAGGAACCTCATAGAGAATATTGTAGATGTAGCTTTCTAAAGGTAGCGGCGGCGGCTGAGGTGAAGTCACTGCTTGGTGAAGCTGTTCTAGAACTTTCTTACAAGCTTTCATGAAAGACATGGGAGTAATCAGACAAATGCACTTTGAGACATAGAGTGTGTCTCTGCTGATGTCATAAGAGTTAAATCGCTGTAGCTTTGAGACAGAGGTGCCATTGCAGTCTCCAGCGCTGCTGCAGCTCTCCTTGTCATTGGTGGGTGGAGTATGAAGAATGTCATATTCAGCATTGTGCATATGATACAACGTCTGCATTGCACTGCAGATCTGTTTGCTAGTGACTTCCTCAAAAAACGTGAGAGAAAATCCAAATGTCCGTGAACCATCTTCACGAGTAATAATAAACGAGTGGAACTGAGGTTCTCTGGAATCTGCTTGTGTCTTGAAAGCAAGCCCTTTAGGCATACATAGCTACAAGAAAGAGGAAGGGGAGATAATATCCATTAAAATACAATTTTCTCTCCCCCTGCCTCCAGAAGAGTTGGTGAAAATGGGACTTAAGAATCCACAGACTGCCACTGCATTTCACTTCAAATTCCATTCAGTTTTACATCTCTGCAAAATACAGTGATAAGGTTCTAAATCAGATAAACAAAAGGAACATATCAAAAGGGCTGCATGCAATTTCTTTTGAAACTCATAACCATTTTGTTACCAGCTTTAACAGGAATCAAATAATAAAATTCAAACCCAGATAAAGAAAAGTATTTTGGTCACCAAGATCAAAAACCTGATAGAGAAAAGTACTATGTTTTATCTAAATTAAGATACACCATGTTCTATTAAATGGAAAAATCATGCACAAAAAAAATTTCTTTAATTGCAGACTAATTTATTTCTCTACTAATTCTCCAGAATGTAACAAAAAAAAAACCCAAAAGCCATTAAGATACTGACCATTCCCACTGCATCCTGGTCAAAAGGGTTCCATTCAACATTTTCAGGATAGCGAGCAAGAACTTTGGATTTAAATGTGCGTCTTAATGGAGTCTGTTCAAAGTTCTCCCCTGAAGATAAAAAAAAAATACAGAAGTATTTCATTCTCTTTTTAAGTACAAACAAGGCCACTAAGCAGGACATTAGCAGATAAATGCAAAGATAAGTGAATTAAGGACACGCTCCTTTTAAGAGAAACAGAAAACGTAAGACAGTTCGTTAGCATATAGTCAGACTGCAGATATTAGCATAGATTAGCAGTGTAACATCTCTGTGTCACTAAGTATCTGTGCTTTTCCTTAAGTGTGACAATCTTGAGATTATGGTCATGACAGCAATTCTCTAAGTCAATCTTCAGATATTTCAGATTCACATTAAAACATAGCTAAAGCTTCAGTTTCAGTGCAATGTTGTTACTGAAGAAAAGCATAAACCGACAAAATGCAAAGATGATGCAACTTTTAGACAGATATACAAGTGACATCATGAGATCTCTTAATTTTATTTTTGAGACTCAGGAAAGAAGCTATTCACCATCTACTGCAAGAAGTTAGCTGTGAAGGAAGAGTCTAGAAGGTTAAAATATCAAGAGCCACATAAACATCCATGAAGAGAAAGTATCAGATGGACAAAGTGCACTTTTTTTTCCCCACACTTTTTCCTTTACCTTCTGTTGCACTTGAAATGAAACAGCTGCCACCATCTCGGGTTTTAGAGGCCTGTATATACTGGCATAAAGCTATATAACAAATAAAAACAACACTGCATTACACATCTCGTACTGTTTAATGTGATCAGATCGCTAACACACACCAGTAAAAACCACACAAATATCCAGAATTAGCATGCTCCTAATATGCTCTGTATACATAAACAACTTATATAAATTTCTCATTTTATGGACATATTTCTAGAGGGAAACAATCAGTATAGAAGAGAAGCTCATCATTCCTGTAGACACAATTAGAATACTGATGAAGCAGTAGGAATTAGATGATAGTGAAATTAGAATTTTACATGTTAGCTATAAAATATTCCCAAACAGCAGACGATGAAACAACCCCAAGGACAAGACCATTTCAAGGTCTTTAGAACTGTATGAATTTAAATCGCATGGTCCAACTTTCTACAGGTGCTATCCACACACTAAACTGGCTGAAAGTCTTGTTTAGATGTTCTTAAATTTCCTCTTGGACCAATGACAGTTCATTTTGATAGCACAGAGCTTTCTGCAGTAAATATTCTGTGAGYGAGAGTAGTTGCTTTAAAAGAACAAAAACATACTACTGCGTATCTTAAAATAAGATTAGCCATATTACTAGAATGCAATTAGCTAAATGAGCATGCAGCTGTTGACAGCTGCACTAACAATCAGGCACAATTGCATGAAATCATATSCTTCAAATAAATGGAATTATTTCAGCAACACCTGCAAAAGAGAAAACATACTCCAACTCCTCATTTGCTTTCTTACATGAAGCAATTACATGGCAATAGAAATTGATTTCAGAATTGGCTGGGTTTGTCTTGTACTTTTAGAGTAATACTTAAAGTTCAATTTTTGAGCCAAGCTGGAATTTTTTTTTGGTTCAACACTTACTCCACTAAGTAGCCACAGACAGAGATGGTTACAGCACTGTCTGTGCACAATACTGATCCTAACAAACACATTACACCAAACTAAACTGCACTGCCATTGAATGAATAACCAGTCCTCTGACAGCTGAAAAGTCATGTACTGCTGGATTTTCTTTTAACTAAGTCTTAAATATTAACGCAAACAGAGAACTTACCCTGAATCAGGACCTAGGACAGGTCTCCCAATACCTAAAATATTCACATCTATTTTGCTAATTCTTTGGGTTTTGGCACTGAAATTGAGGAAGGGATTGTTTTTATTATTTGTCTGAAAAAGCAACAGCTCAGCTGATTTTCATACAAAACCACGTAGCTACCTTATTTATTAATGTGTTCAGAAATATAATTCAATAACATCATTGTTCAGAAAGAAAAAAATACGTATTTGTGGAAATCAGAAACTTATAGAGAGGAACACTTAGGAAAAACCAAAAACCAGGTCACCACTTCACCGAAATATAACTATCTTGTGAAAGAGCGGAGCCAAAGACAGAAAAGATAACAGCATTTCCATAGCTAAAACAATCATAAAAGATGAAAATAAGCATTTAAAGATATTTCCAATCTCCCAGAAAGAGAAAAATGGACAGAATGGCACATCTCTACTGACACAAGCATACACTCAAGTGAAGTCAGTCCTCTGTAAAAAGCTTTTAAAAATATGTCAGGAGATTTGACACACCTACTATTTTCTATATTTACATCTGTGCAGATGATGTAATGTCAACTTTTAGATAACTGAGGAAAAACCTCAGACATGTACTAAGCCATTTTATTCCTTGGAGTTCTTTTTGGTTTGTTTGTTTTTTGTTTTTTTTTTTCATCTTCCACATACAAAGAAGAGAGAAGATGTATGAAGGCCAAATTTTCTCCTGAACTCAAAAACCACACACTACAGTCACTGGGTTCACCTATGTGCAAGGCTGCACATATTTTGAAAATAAAAAGAAAAATCTGTGACTTCAAGACCTTTTCATTAAGATCACTAATACTGCAAATTACTGCAAAGGGAAGATGCTGCTCTTCCCTTATGATTAAAAAAAACCCAAACCCTAACAGACACTTGAATGGAAGCTTACCTATTTAAAGAAGCCTTGCACCATCTCCTCACAAGAGACATTCTTGCCAACACACTCTTAAATTTTTTAGAGCTGGAGTCTGTCTGTAATTTAATGAAAGGACTAAAACTGATTTCTGGAAACCACAGAGTCCTAATCCAGACAGAAACATAAGGCAACCCTCACAGGCCTTCCTGCCATCCCTCAAGGCACTGAGCTGTTGCACAGACACTGCTCTTGCCAGAGTGCTTCGGTAGCACCCTTCTCCCCACACTGCCCTGCTGGAAAGCTGGCTGCCAGCTCAGCAGGATCCTCCTTTTCCTTCCAGAGCAGCAGTCTCCCATCTCCAGTTATCTCTTTTGGGAGAGCCTTCATGCTTGGAATACCGCAAACTACCGGACCTTGAGACTGYAACATGCTGGCTTCCAAAGATGCTGATTCCCTACAAGGAAGGGAATGCCAAGAAACATCTCACCAACATCAGGAAAGTTCAGTTCAGGTGATCTGCATGATTCCAGAACACCGGACACCCTGTTTTCCTGCCATTACAAGTAATGAGAACCTGAGCACCAGTACCTGCACTGCCTGGGCTCCGCCTTCTCTCCTCTCTAGTGGTTGTCACTAGACAGCCATCAGCAGTGGGAGGGGAAAAATCCACAACCAGTGTTTGCTTACATCCAGAGGTAAAAAGCAATTAACCCTAAATTTCTAAATTTATAATCAGCCTCAAACACAGACACCCTGCTCCAGCAAAACACCAACTGGAGTACACCTCCAGCAGGCAAAAATAACCCAACGTTTCAAAATCTGTCTCGGTGTGAATTAGAATTAAAAGGTTATTCTGAGTTGGAAAGGACCCTCAAGGATCATCAGGTCCAACTCTTAAGTAAACGCCATACAGGGATTGAAGCCACAACCTTCATGTTATTAGCACCATGCTCTAGGTTTCCTTCATTCAATTAGCTGATTTATTCAGAAATGGTTTTGATAAAAACAGTGAAGTGCAGTTTTAACAAATGCAAGAGATCAACTAACCTGCAGGAATGAACAGTTGTATTCCACAACTGAGAAAATGATGGCATAAGAGATAAACTGATAAAAATATGATGTATTGCATAAGTTTAAAGAGAGCAAATCCCCACACTTAACAACTATCAAAGGACTGCTATCATCACRTCATACTTTTCACAGTTTCCCTCCTTTAGCAGAAGTAATGGCTAGAAACTACTTTCCTTATCCAAGTTACAGTAAAGAGGTCTTTAAAATTATTTCTTTGTAAAGAGTTTCTCTTTTATACAAATTCCATGCAAAAGGGAAACTCTAAAGTTTTTAAATGAAACACAGTATTGCCTGCACAAGACTAAAAACATCTTTCAAACACCTTTGATGTTCCTCACATACACATTTACCACTCAGGTGTTTGTTATATCACAGGAAAAGCTCTATAAAAATCAAGATGCAAACTGTCCCACAGACTGCAAAGTTGCAACTACCTTGGATTTAAATCAGAATCAATGATCAAACAGCTACAATTATGAGATAATTTGCCAGGAAATGTCAAATAATATATGAAATCCATAAACACAAACACCCAGCAATACTTCAGGAAGTTTCAGGCCAACATGCGTCTCAGCATCAAACCTTCAAAAAAGTAAGAACCTCATTGTATTTTGCAATGTAAAAAATATCATAAAAGCATAGAGAAACATAATTTCACCAGGCAGAGTACAAATCCACAAGCACCAGTCTAGTGCAGCCCTGGCACTGCACCCAGCAGGGGAATGGCAGTGAAATACAGCATCTCAGAATTTGTCATTGGAAAAAAACGACCTCCTATGGCATCCTACTCAAAATAGGAATAGTGAAACAATTCAGATTAAAAATAAATGAATAGAGAATAAAGAAAGGGTTAACAAAGATTAACATTTCACTGATCCAGTTTAGTCACGCAAACAGTTTAATTATCTCATGATGATCCCCCAAAACAGGAGGAAAGCAAAGAGTAAACCACAGACACAGAGGTTCTGAAACTGGTGAGCCAAAGAAAACACAGACTAGAGTTTTAATATCTGGTAACTCATGAACCACCCCTCCTCCCGAGGCCCAGCTTGCTACCTGCTAGCTCCTGCCATGCCAGGTGATAAATACTTCAACACCAACAACCACCACCTGGCTCTGGTAATGTTCTTTGCTTCCTCTCTCGTTTTTCAMACCTTATCAACCCTTCCCATTACACATGATAAACATCTCCTGCTGGCCTGGAGATAGCTGAGCACCTGCCTGTCCATGGACAGTGCTAAATGATTTTTTTTTTTTTTTGCTTTGGCTTTACCTATTAATCTGTTTCTATCCCATCCTGTGAGTTTTCCCACTTTTACACTTCTGATTCCCTTCTCCATCCCATAGAAGGGGAGTGAGAGGCTGTGTGGGGCTGAGTTAAACCATACCACCATGCAATTTAAGAAGACATGCATAAAAGACTTAACTTATTGGACCCTTGCTTATCAAAAGGGTCACTAAGGTAAATTACCAGCTGGACACAACCAGCTGCTCACCAGCTAGACACACCCTCTGAGGAGGTCTCCTTGGCTGAGGGATGTCCACAACTGCAGAATTGGCCTGGCTCACCCTGGGCAGGCAAAGCTCAGCTGAGTGCAGTCTCAGACCACATCGGAGGACACGCAATGCAGATGAGATTAAATCTCACATTAGAGACAGGTAATTGTGCAACCCCTCCCTCTCACATCTTTTGAGTAAATTGATCTTGATGGATTGCACTGTGTGCGTAAAGCAAACTACAAACCTGCTCAAGATGACCTAAGAGCTGAAACATGTTACATTTAGTTGGAAGATCTAGGTAAAACCAGCCCCTTTCCACAGATGTGTGGGAGCTCACACCGCTGTTCTAACAGCCTAATACTATTTACAGTGTATAGAACCACGATGGGCTTTCAGTTCTAACTTAATTTACCACCACCTTAAATTATGCTGGCCTACATATCTGTAATTTGGACTTGGTAATTTCCAGCACATTAGAACAGCT